TTCAGTTTTTATATCCTATTGAAGGAAAATGTCAGAACAACTAAGTAGGGGTGAAACTCTTGATGTGTTCTGTCCACAGTATCCTTGCTAACATATGCCACATACCTTGAGTACACCCTTCACATCTAGTAGTTGCATACCCCTTGAGCTCTCTGGGATCCTATTAAAAGAACTGTAGTGCATGGTTAAGTATGTGCACAATTAACCTCCAATTTCCACCGCATCCGAAATGGCTGTGCTGTAGAACAGCAGCAATTTTCGCCATCCGCCAATTCCTACTGGATGCGTCTGTGAGGTGAATTTTTTTGTAGCAGATTTCAAACAGAATCGCAAAAACTCACAAGAACCTGCAGATTCACGTCCAATCATGCAATACCGAGTTGTTCCTAAAGAGACGGCCACAGTACCATATAAGCAGTAGATTGTGTCTTTCCAGAGGAGGAAATCCACTTCTAGACTTCCTTTCAAAACCTTTCACTTGTTCATCCCCGCCCACGTTTGCATGGTGTGAAATACGATCCGCCTGAAACAAGTAGTGTTTAATTTTGAAAGAAGTCAGATGTTTTATTTTGTGTCTGTGCCCGACTTCCTTTCCAGCACGGGCTAATCTGTGTTGAATTTATGCAGCACGTTGTGGCATCTGGAAAAGATAGAACCCTGGCGATCAGCTGCAGACCTCGCTGATCTGCTGTGGGATGGAAAGAAGCTGGTGGAAATTGACACATTAACTTGAATGGAAACGATCAGCTGCAATCGGAGCCGACGGCCTTTTCGCCGCCGTTCCGGATGCAGTGGAAATTGGGGGTACGTTTATGCTGTTGATTGTGTACGCAAATAGGATGTAGAAGGTGTACTTCCAGCTGGAGCCCTTATTTTGTCATAAAATGCCCCAATAAAAACATAAAGTCTCTCCTTGTGTTTCAAAGAAAAAGTGCATTCAAAAGACAACCATGAGATAATGACTGATGTGCTTACAGCTTTGCAAAAAAAACTTAAGAAAACATTCAAGTATGCATGCAGCCCAGAAGTTGACGGATTAATTTGCAAAATGAATCACAACTGAAGAACGCCATGCCCCCTGCACATACAGGTGTTCACTGACAGAGCGCCGAGCACAGACAAACAAGCAGATGACAGAGGGCGCACACTTCATGCTTCTCTGCTGACCACACTAAAGATGCTGCAAATTTACACAAAGGTGGAGAAGCATTAATGAACACAGTGGAGTCATCAGCAAACACACACACACAGCCCTGTAGTAACAACAATGTATTCGTAGACCTTTTAACAAGGCAAACCTCAAAGCCTGTGCTTCACTTAAGGGACTACAAACAATGAAATCATAGAAAAGTAATGCTGAATTAATCATGATTTTAATACCTGGAATTCAACAGATTAGCCAGTATTTATGTCCAGTCTTTTAAACTGCACACTTGCCTATGAGACATTTATGAACATCATTGATAATGCATGAACCACAATGAGTCTAACGTCTTAGTGGTACATTAGTTAATGTATTGTGTCATCATGAAGTTACCATTAATTCATATTAAATGCTGATAGTTCATCAGGTAACTCATCCATGAATTCATGATAATTCATGAACCCTTACTGTATGGCTTTACCGATATTGCTTTTTATCACATACAAAATTCACACCAAACAAACATGCAATTTGTTGAAACTTACCTGCAGTTTAGTACTTATGTTGAATCTAAGAAAATTCAGGTGGACAGCAAGTTAGGCAAAACCTCCACCTATTGCTTCCTTTGTAGACGCCAAAGTTTAAATCTAACTCTGACCAAAAAACATAATTCATACTCCAAACTCATACTTCATACTCCATATCTCAAAAACATGGAGAAAGCCTTCTCAAAAGTTGTTGGCTGTGGGAGGCTGTATCTGTACTTTTGAGCATTGTCACAGATGCCATTGTGATTCTTGAATCAGGCTTTCTTGCCTCTGGAACAAAGCCTGACCCTTCACTCTTCAGCCTTATTCACAGAAATTTCTTTGTAAAGAAATAATACAACTGTGAAGTTGGGCTGGGGCGTTTTGTTGATGTAGTTGAAGTAATCCACTACAAAAATTTGTTGAAGAAAAATGTGCGTCAACGCGTCGCATGATGATGTAGACAATGGCTAATTCAGGTCATGGTGGAGGCATGGACGGCAAACGAGCGCCACCTAATGGGGTCGATTTCAAACCTACTTTAGCATGATCTATGAGCAGCTCCTCTCAATCAATAGATGTGTTCTTCCTGGCTTCCCGGTTCACATTTCCAAGATCGTGCTGCTTGCATTCAAGGAGACATGCATCCCATATCTAATTCATTCACTTAAAGCAGTAAGCTCAGAGTTGAAGCATCAGTTTTGTGCTTTTATTCGTCCTATAACTCACTAATTAATCAGCTGTGTGATCACCAACAATAGCTTGCTAATGCTAATACTCCGCTGCACATTTGTATACAGATACACACGAGTCCGAGGCAGAGCCACGTAAGAAATAACTCATTTTTAAAGTGTGGCGGCTTTTATTTAACTGTGGCAGTGCGCCACGATCGATTGCATAGAGGGGACACACTGTTATCCAGCGCTGTATGTTCCTCTGCAATGTAAACAAACGTGTTGTCGGCAGTATGCCGACTGTGGCCCACAATGCATTGCGACATATTGCGCCTTTTTGGTTGGTTGTGGCACCGACATTCACAATATTAAATGAAAGATGGTATGAATGTTATTTATTGTTACTTGACAGTCGTTGTAACTATGAGTAAGGTGAGCATGCACGTGTTAAGGGAGGCTGTTAGCAACAATGACCTATCAGGCTGGCGCACTCACAGGCTGGTTACCAGAAAATGGTATAAAATGGTATCACAGTATGTTGCCCAGTACTAAGTGCAAGCACTTACAGTTGACTTAAGATAAGCTAAAAATCAATGTTAAGTGTTTTGTGAATGTAAAAAAGCATTAATAAAAATACATTTTTTTTGTTTTGTTTGATTTTGATAGAATCTTGAATAAATTATTGAAATAAATACTAAGTGGACAAGTTTTAATTGTTATTTTGGTTAAATTCATTATTATATTAATCGGTTAATTAAAAAATAATCGTTAGAATAATTCATAAATTAGTAAATAGATTAGTCGACTACTCGAAAAAATAATCGTTAGATTAATCGATAAAAAATAATCGTTAGGTGCAGCCCACCTGTGAAGCATCAATTATTGTGAGTACAAACACGGAGCAGTGATTCTCACTTTTACTCAGCAGAAAAATCTATGTGTGATCTATTTGTGTCTGTCATATGTGAGCGAGTGAATAAAGAAAGGAAAAAGGAGGATGTGGAAGGGGGGAGGGGGGGTTTAAAGGCCAAAACATAGTCCAAACATGATTATGGTTACGGCTTCACTTTCACTGCAGCTTTGCTTTCCCTTCTTTAATTTGCTGCCCTCACGCATTTCTGTTTGGTCCCTTAAATCTCCTTCATCCCCTACCTGCCAAACAACTTATTTTTTCTACACACGTGTGAAAAGCCTGAGAGTTTTCAACTCATTTAACACAATCAGTTCATTAGAAAGATACAGCACGTTCCCCCTAATGGGTACTTGAGCTGCAACAAGGGAGAGCAGATTGCTTCCCTCGCTGGCTAAATAATTAGACTGGGGGGGGGCACACAAAGGGAGGGAGATAGAGCATGTGTGTGTCTGAGCATCATGTGTGCGGTGGGGATATGAGTTGGAGGCGAGGGAAAACGTGAAAACAGCTCATACGTGTGGGCATGTGTGAACTACTGTATAGAATTCCTGCTTAAGTGCAGGATAAGAGCATCTTTTCAAACTTCTTTTCTTTTTCCATCCACTCAGGTGAGTCAAGGTCACTGTATTTAAAAGGAAAGCACAAGAAAGGAAAGAAAGAAGTAGAGAGACACTTGTTGGATCTCACTGGAGAGAAAGGAGGGAGAGGGGACTTTACAACAACTCCTTATTCTTTCTTCTGGTCAGCTTTTCTATCAAGGGGCTTTTCTTTATCTCCAGTTTTAAGTAGCGAATGTAAAGCTCCATTACTTTTTTTGTCATTATTTACATAAGCTCCGGCGTTTTCTTTACTAGATGTCAGCACACTGTAGGAAAGAAATCGAAATTCCTAAGGATTCAATTTTGGTGTATTCTGGTGACTCATCTTGAGGGAGAAAGCCTTAACGATTGAGCCACACTCGGGGAACAAATCTGTTTTCCTCTGAGGATAAACAGAAATAAGATAATAAGAGGCATCAGCCGGCCTGGAGAGCACTGCAGAAACACCAAAACACACACACACACAAGCTCATTTACTGCATCGTGCCATCTCTTTGTTTCCCTCTCTTTCATCTTTCAAAGCCAGACTGATGATGATAACGACGTGAGGGACATAACTCCACCGTGCTTGAACATTTAAAGCCCCTGCCCCTTATTAAACCCCGCCACTGAAACATGATCCTGAAGGGTCCAAATACTGTTCACCACCACTGGAACCAAAAAGCTTTGTCTCACACAAATCAAATCAAAACAAATTTAACTGTCTGACTTCAGACCCTAAATATATTCCTGTTTTAGAGTCTGTTTTTCTGCACCATGAGCACATTCTGATCCCATCTGTGCCCCCCCAAATTAAACAAATGAAGAAATATCAACAACAATTAAGAAATGAGCAGAGAGAGAGAGAGTATTTCTCAACACTTCAAGCATGCAAGTGGAAAGCAAGAAGAGTGATTCTTTCTGTCACACCCTTGTGCGCTCTTTCTGGTGAGACTTACAGATGATATCTGCTAATCTCAGGCACTAATCCCTACACCTTAGTAACAAAAGTGCATTGTGCTTGAAAAAAATCCTGCCGGCCACGACTTATCTAGACAATAAAGCAGCAGCGCTGATCCAACAGGGAGGGGGCAACCCAGACAGAAAGCAAAGAATAAAAGGATGGAGGAAAAAAGGAGATTTATGGAAGGTTAGGAGAGGTTTATGAGATTTGGGAACCACATTTGTTGGTAGAGAGAATATGATTTGCTTTATCAGTAGCAAACAAGATGTTATTTATGAAATAAGGCTTTGTTTTGCTTTGTTATGAGGGCGAGATGAATCATAAAGGTGACTGTCATATTGGTCTTTGTCCTTTGCTCTTTTTTCCTGCCTCTCTTCAGTCCTAAATTACTTCTATTTTTGAGTCTTTTATGCGGTTCGAGGCCTATGCTTAGACTTGTTTTCAATTTGCTTGCTTTCAAGTGTTTGCCCATATACATTCAATTACAAGTCCATTGTGTTGAATTCCATGCTTTTGTGTGTACATTGCATTTATTTAACAAAGCAAAAGACAATCCAGCAACTGTGGCTCCAGAGGTGGAGTGGCTTGTCCTTCAACTGCAAGCTAGGTGGTTTGGCCCATGTATCATTCAGTCTACATGCCTTATTGTTGGTCAAGATAAAGAACCCAACAATACCCATACATACGCAAGCAGACACAGCCCACAGTGTACGAAGGTGTGGAATGCATAAATTGTCTTGCATAGATCAGTGGAGTAAAACCTCCACATGGCAGCGGACCTCATCAAAGATCCACAGAAACCAGCAAGACCAGGAAGCACGGAAACATGAAGTAACAATATGAATTGTGGTGTAAATGCATACTGATGCACAAACAGAGAATAAGACAAGGATGGTGCATTTCCAACAGGCAGTCTGGTTTGGTATGTTTTGATTTTTTTGCTGCATTTGCCACAGCCAACTGTGCTCTTAGGCACTTCATACAGGAAAATCTCTTGGCTGCCTTATGGCTTCAGAATGGCTTGATTTTCATTTTGGCATGCATGTCAAGAGATTAGACCGCCCGCATAAGCAGCACATTTCACGCACCTCAAGTCCATCTCACACACCACAATCTTGAGAAAAGAAGAATCAGTGTATTTTTATTTTTTTTTTATTTTTTGCAAGCCACACATGGATTTCAGCCAAAATACAAAGAGAAATGAAAAGCCAAGAGCTGGAATGGCCCTGTATCAGTTATTTTTATGTTCCATGAATGAGAGATATAGTATGGAATTATTCCCTGTTTGATTTTTAAAGCAGAGGCTCTTTTTTTCTGATGTTTTTTTCCTTGTTACACGCAACACTTTTATTTTAAAGTCACCTCCTGAACAGTTGTTTATCTAAATTAGTAACTACCATAGCTCTTTATCAGATCCAGGCATGTCACTGTGTCTCACACAGGGAGGTTACTACACTTGGTGGCTTAACTAAGTAAAAGCAGTCTTCAGGGGAAGTAGTGGGTCAATATGGGCTATTGAAGCTATTCTCTATAGTCGAGAAAATGGTCTTTGAAACTACATTATATTTATATGTATATAAATATATATTTGCTACTTGCTGTTGTAGTTACTGTTCAGGCGCCTGCTGTTTAACCAAGCATCCAAATGTGAGCGTTGTCTAAGTGTGCATCCCCCAGACTAGTGTCCTGACCACTAACTGAATATAGAATGGACCACATACCTTCATTTCTAACTGCTGTGTGAAGAAGACTGCCTTGGCTGCACTAGTGGTGCCAAAGCATCAACTCTTTGCCATTTGGCTCCTCAGTAAATGAGCAATTATTGTGTCCGTCTTAATAAACAGTTTATTGTCCTGACCACAAAAAGTCTTCCACTCGTGCTTTAATATGTAATGTCTGTGAGGGTCAGTTGACACAAAATCATACAATTTCCAATGAGCTCCCTCTCAGTTATTTTTCTCGACTATTCTAAACAGCACTTATTAAATGTACTGAACTTCTTCTGTACAGTACAACTCTGTCACACTGTTATGGACGTATTGTGCTGAGAAATGTGTGACGTATTACCTGCAAAGGCCGTTGAAATGCACCACTCATCCCTCTTTGTCACGTTCATGAGTCTGCATGTGCAGTGGAGCTTCTCGATTTGGATTTAGCCCCTGACTCTGCCTTCCTCCATCATAAAAAGTGAGTCCTTCTTGTCACTCCAGCTCCCTGAGCTTTTGGTGATTGATGGTCAGTGTTTCTGTTGTTGTAGCCCTTTCCTCATGATAGTTGAGCATAAAATGAAACCTAAGACAATGATCCTCTCAATTCCACTCTGATCCAAAATGGGGAACGCTGAACAAGTGACGAACTGAATAAATAAACAAGAAGGAGTTAATTAAGGAATGAAGACCTTGCCCTTCAATGCATTTAAAGGAATATTTCACTGTTTCTGAAGTGAGGTTATATGGGTTACATGTCACTAGTTAGTGTATAAGCCTAAGTGGAGACTGGCCAGTATGACTCTTAATTGAGAATGCAAGCAGAAACAGGACGCCAGGTATGATGCCGTTGTTTTTGGCAGATGGGGCCGACTGCCACGTGATTTGACTGATTTTGAAAGACTTTGACTGAAGCACTCAACTTTGTCTAACTGTACTGAACTAAGAGATTTTACAGCACAGTCTCCTGTTTTAACAGCTAACAGTGTTTTCTGCTCATGTAAACAATCTGCGCATAATAGATTGTTGTATTATATTGTATTGTATCTGGGTTTATTTATTTATTTTTATTTCACTTCTAAACATTAAAGAGAGTCAATAACAACCTGGTGTTCAGTACAACAGTGGACTCTGGTCTGCAATCAGTCTTTTCTGTGAGTCTCTAAGCTCCATCACTCCGTAGGTCCCTCTGGATCACTGCTACAGAGCTTATGTTTATTTATTAGCATCAGTTTTTCAGAGCCTAAAAAAGTCGATTAAATCCCAAAATACATTCTGCAGATTTTGGACAGCCTAACAAGGAAATCAAAGTGGAAGTAAAAGCCTGTCCTCTGTGTTTTTGTGAGGATTTTGTGACCATGAATATTAGAAATAAGTGCAAATTACTTTAAGTTAACTTTAGTGCATATGATGGTGTCAAGTAAGTAAGAATCAATTGGAAAAGAAAGCATCCTGTGTTTGAGTCGAATGCATTATTGTTGGTTTTCTTGGTGCAGCATTTGGATTCTGGAACATCCTCATGTGCACCCAAGCAGGTCAGACGGGATCTTTCCTCTGACATAACTGATGTCTGCTTTCTGGTTTATCTCTCCCTCTCTCTCTTCAGTCCTCACATTCTCTCCAATATCTGGCAACAAAAACAAAACAAGACCTGTTTGTGTAAGAGAGCCATGTCCATTGTCTCCCCTATTATTTCACTCTACCTGGCAGCCTCACTTGATACACTGTCAATCACAGCTGAAAATGAAAAAAAAAAGACACCCATGCTGATGGTAGCATCATTTCCAAACTTGTGGATAACAGAGGAGAGGAAAAAAATCTTGTTTTAAAAAAAGGCTGAAGGAACAGAAATGCTTGCCATTTAGCCTGTGCCCGTGTGTGTGCGTGTGTGCGTGTGTGTGTGTGTGTGTGTGTGTGTGTGCAGGTCCATTGTTTTTGTGTGTTACGAATCACAGAAATAGGAAATGCTGACCTCTGTGCTTATTACTGCGCTTTGTCTCACACCGGCGGGATCAGGCTGCTCTGACATGAAGTCTCCATACATTTCTCCCTTTAATCTGACTTTCACCTGCAGAATATGCTGACAGATGGCAAAGTGGAGCAACTTTTTTAGGGAGAAATGAAATTCTGCTGCATAAAAAGTGAATAGCAGCATGTCAGCACAGATGAAAGAACATGCATTTTCCAGCTGCACCTTGTTCAACTGATGCTTGTGCAAAGAAGACAACACTGGCATATAAAGTCCTCTGACAATACATTTTAATGAAGGACTCCGTGGTTTACTGCTGCACATTTCTCCTTGTAACAAGGAGTGCAAAACTAAAAGGGGGGATGCGTCATTGCCTAATTTGTTAAAGTAAACTGTAATGAAAAAAGTAAACCTTGTTAAGCCTGCACTATACTTAAGATTTCTTTAAAAAAAAAGGGGAAAAAAAGGTGTAATTTGCATTAATATAAAGACATCACTTGACTGCAGTTCCACTTGCTAATAATCCCTTTTCAGCTCTGTTTCACTTTCACTATCTGCAACTTCATTTCTTTTTTGTTCAGTGTTACCACTTTCATTAATCTTGTTTATAGCTGCTGCAACATGCTACTCTCAGTGCAAACCTCTAATAAAGTGACTAAAAGATACCTTCCAAACGTCAAATGGCAGACACTAAAGTTAGCATCTGTACATTGTAGAGTATTTGCAGCAAAAGAGCAAAATTTCCATTAGGAGACCGCGTTGAGCAAATAGATCTAAATGCAATTATATTAAACTAATCCAAGGGAATCCTAATTAGACTTGACACTTATATTTAAATGATCACCAAGGGCCTCTTTCTATAACCTGTTTTAGGAGGAAACTGGCTCTTGAAACCCACATAAAGTTTGGGAAATTAACCAAATTTTCTAATCTGGGAATTGTACTTAACCAATAACAAAATCTAAAATCACTCCGGAGCATTCTTGTGCATTTTATGGCAGCCTGCACTTTATGAAGATATGGCATTCATAAATTCAAGAACACTGGTCCAAGTAAGTCTGTTGTTTAAGATCAAATCTATGAATCTTTGTCTTTACAAGTTCTAAGGCCAGCAAAAAATACTATACATGCAGATTAAAAACAGCCTGGCATTGGGAATTCATCTACCATCAATGTAGCATCAATACAGCTCTTGTTTATCAGATCACCAGTGGAAAGCCCTAAATTAAGATGCAATCACTCCCAGGATGCACTGAAGATCGTTGAGATCTGATCAATCAATCTGATTAGGTTGCACAATTAGGAGATAACACCTGGAAATAGTTCATCCGAGTTGATAAAAATGCATAACTTTTAGTAATTAAGTAAAGCGTGATCATGTTTGTACGAGGTGTGCATATATACATTTGGATCTCTGTGTTCATTTAGTCTGTTTATTCTAATGTCAACAGAGATTGAACTGCAGATGGGTCATTATATTGCATTTTATTATATTTGCATCAAGAAAGTGAGATAATTTATTTAATGTAATTTGAGATAATGCCATCTGATTAAACTGCACATCAATCCGAAACCAGTGTAAATGAGGGAACCAAGTAATATAACCTTTGATTTAAACCTTAACTTTTCACTTCAGAAACATTTCAATGTGTCACTTATATTCAAATGCAGATTCATTGCTTTAATGGAATAACAGATCTCTTCTTGTTGGCTTGCTGTCTTTAGTTCTATTTCATTAAAATGGCTTAATCATAGACTCACCTAATACAGCTGAATGAGGTAGAGAAACTTCAGCTGTTGGCTCACATGTGGTATAAAGCTTAAGGGCTGATTTTACACAAATCTGAACACAGCTGTTGAGTGTGGGTGTCTGTTTGGTTTGAATGTGTGTATTTTATGGGAATGGAAACAAGCCAATTGAATCACAGTGTTAAAAGCTTGTATATGTTTGGCAGCGGGTGCTGGCAGGTAATCCAGTAGTTGAAGGACGGGCTGTGTGCCAAAAACAGATTTACTTTGAATGAGAAGCTAAAAGGTAAGAGGAGAGAGAAAAGAAGGTGAGCAGCACAAGTGTTTGTCTTGCCTTGGAGAGTAAGTGTGATAATTTGCATATATTACTGCAACATATGAAGATATCATTACGTTTAATTGTATGTTACAATTCAAAAATAGCTCCCTGCTCTGGAACGTACAGTATACTGTATACTATGGAAAAACACACCACTAAATGTTCTGTAAGAATGTGCTATATATGTGTGACTGTGGATGTGTGTGATGTCGTATCAAATTGTTGTGGTTTGTATGTGTTGTATGGATGTTATTTGATACCCTGTAGAGAGATGTGCTATGAAAGAGAATCAAGATAACACTGAGATTGTTGGGTGTGACTAGATCTGTTGCCACAAGATTTCAGGATTCCAAAGCATGACAATATTTCTTGTTGAGGTAATAAGCTGTCTCCTGAGATCAGCACACTGTCTTCTGAGTGGATTTGTCATTTCTATCTGTACCTATTGCAGTAAACCTGCTTGTGGTGGTGTATCAAAGTCAGTTCATAACTACTAAGGAGGGTGCCTCAAGGATACCCTGAAGCTGAAGAAAGAGTCCTATCAGGCCTTTCTGGCCTGTGGGACTCTGGAGGCAGCCAACAGGTACCAGACGGCCAAGTGGAATACAGCCTCGGTGGTCACTGAGGCAAAAACACAGGTGTAGGGGGAGTTGGGTGAGGCCATGGAGAGCGACTTTTGGGCAGCTTTAAGAAAGTTGTGGACCACCATTTGGCATCTCAGGAGGGGGAAGCAGCACACTGTCAACACTGTGTATGGTGGGAACCGAATTGAGATGTTGTTGATGGGTGAAAAGAATACTTTGAATAGTTCGAATACTTAGATCTCACCAACATGCCTTCGAGTGAGGAAGTAGGGCCGGGGGAACGCGGATGTGGGCTCTTTTTTCTCTGGGGCTGAGATTGCCAAGGTGATTAAAATGCTTCTCTGGGGCACATGGTGGGCGGTACGTCTGAATCTGAACACTACTTTGATTCATACTAGATGAATCAGATGTATGCTAATATTTTTGTTTGATGAAAGTACATATTGTTCATATATTTAACTTGATTGGGTTATTTCATCGTTGATGTTTTCATAAAAGTAGTTTCAAACTCTCGCCTTGTGCCGTTCTTGTGAACCCAGTCTTGTGTTTTGTCTTGTCATGTAAACTGAGAGTCTCCTCACAGCCTGACAAGATTGTATGAAATACTTGAGACACCCCAGATTAATTAACTTCAGGTGTAATTTGCCATGACATTAACTGGACAACAGACTACCATAAAATAAAATGTCTCATGGATAATCACAATTACCACCATGCTCATTTAGGGCAGTCCTGTTTGGCATGCACCAAATATTAAATTCAAGTTGATTTGTTGAGAGGTACATGCTTGTCCCCAGTTAGGGCTGACAGATGAGTGTGAGACTGAAATAGCACTCATAAATGCAAGGAAATCTGTGCTATGAACTCCGCTTTGTGCTGTGCTTGATGTTCCATTACAAACCCCACAGGCCAAATGGCACCAACTCATGATGTTCCCCCAGACATCATTTTGTGTCCACTGAGTGTTGCTGCAAAGTTACAGAGTGTTCGGGGGAATATGATATTCTTAAGACGAGAAATTTACCCATACCATTTGCACAAACTCTGATGGTGAGTTAGAAGAAAAAAAATCATAGAATATAAAATATCTCAAAATGTACTATTTTCATGCATATGAGTCAGAAGATCATACATATTGCTATCCATCTGTGGAGCTGACTGGGTAAACAATTGTCAATAAAGCATTTAAGAGGAGCAGAGTTTATACTGGACAGACTTGGAAAAATGGAGAGATTGAAATACACTCAATATTCTTATAATTGGATGAATCTGAATAAATCTGTGAATTGATGAACACACGTGTGCTGGTTTTACTCTCCACCACTGGCTAAACCGTACTGTCAGCACGCCAATGACAATGCACATGTGTGGCTCTGTCGTAAGTGTGTTTTCTATACATTTTTTAGAGTGCTCAGTGTGTTAGCAGACAAACAATACGGTTCATGAAATCTTTATGTGTGATGGGGCTTTGGTATCAGAGGGGTTGTTTTGTCTTTTTATTCTATGAAAGGTTCCATTCACTTTAGTGTTGCAGTGGGTATTGGCTGAACGCAGTAAGGAGTCTGTTTGTGACGCATAATGCAATCCTGGAAGCCATCCACAGTCATACATGAGGATTAGTTATCTATGTGAACATACATCTGTATACAATCACAGCTGATTCTTGATTAGCTTAAGCTTAATGTCAACAAAGCTGAAAAAAATGAGTTTAACCCTAACCCTAACCCTAGCCCCAACACTAACCCTAACCCTAGCTCTTACCCTAACCCTAACCCTAGCTCCAACCCTAACCCTAACCCTAACCCTAACCCTAGCTCCAACCTTAACCCTTACCCTAACCCTAGCTCCAACCCTAACCCTAACCCTAACCCATGCATTCCTATGGGAAAAAAATCAAATTTTTTTAGGAACGTCCTAGAGACTCGGGAGTTGGTTCATTGCACTCAGAAAAATCCTAGCTCCAAGCCCAACCCTAACCCTAGCTCCAACACTAACCCTAACTCCAACCCTAACCCTAACCCTAACCCTAGCTCCAACCCTAACCCTAACCCTAACCCATGCATTCCTATGGGAAAAAATCAATTTTTTTTAGGAACGTCCTAGAGACTCAGGAGTTGGTTCATTGCACTCAGAAAAATCCTAGCTCCAAGCCCAACCCTAACCCTAACCCTAACCCTAACCCTAACTCCAACCCTAACCCAACCCTAACCCTAGCTCCAACACTAACCGTAACTCCAACCCTAACCCTAACCCTAACCCTAGCTCCAACCCTAACCCTAACCCTAACCCATGCATTCCTATGGGAAAAAATCAATTTTTTTTAGGAACGTCCTAGAGACTCAGGAGTTGGTTCATTGCACTCAGAAAAATCCTAGCTCCAAGCCCAACCCTAACCCTAACTCCAACACTAACCCTAGCTCCAACCTTAACCCTAACCCTAACCCTAACCCTAACCCTAGCTCCAACCCTAACCCTAACCCTAACCCATGCATTCCTATGGGAAAAAATCAAATTTTTTAAGGAACGTCCTAGAGACTCGGGAGTTGGTTCATTGCACTCAGAAAAATCCTAGCTCCAAGCCCAACCCTAACCCTAGCTCCAACACTAACCCTAACTCCAACCCTAACCCTAACCCTAACCCTAGCTCCAACCCTAACCCTAACCCTAACCCATGCATTCCTATGGGAAAAAATCAAATTTTTTTAGGAACGTCCTAGAGACTCGGGAGTTGGTTCATTGCACTCAGAAAAATCCTAACTCCAAGCCCAACCCTAACCCTAGCTCCAACACTAACCCTAACTCCAACCCTAACCCTAACCCTAACCCTAGCTCCAACCCTAACCCTAACCCTAACCCATGCATTCCTATGGGAAAAAATCAAATTTTTTTAAGGAACGTCCTAGAGACTCGGGAGTTGGTTCATTGCACTCAGAAAAATCCTAGCTCCAAGCCCAACCCTAACCCTAACCCTAACCCTAACCCTAACTCCAACCCTAACCCTAACCCTAACCCTAGCTCCAACCCTAACCCTAACCCTAACCCATGCATTCCTATGGGAAAAAAATCATTTTTTTTTAGGAACGTCCTAGAGACTCGGGAGTTGGTTCATTGCACTCAGAAAAATCCTAGCTCCAAGCCCAACCCTAACCCTAGCTCCAACACTAACCCTAACTCCAACCCTAACCCTAACCCTAGCTCCAACCCTAACCCTAACCCTAACCCATGCATTCCTATGGGAAAAAATCAAATTTTTTTAGGAACGTCCTAGAGACTCGGGAGTTGGTTCATTGCACTCAGAAAAATCCTAGCTCCAAGCCCAACCCTAACCCTAACTCCAACACTAACCCTAGCTCCAACCTTAACCCTAACCCTAACCCTAACCCTAACCCTAGCTCCAACCCTAACCCTAACCCTAACCCATGCATTCCTATGGGAAAAAATCAAATTTTTTTAAGGAACGTCCTAGAGACTCGGGAGTTGGTTCATTGCACTCAGAAAAATCCTAGCTCCAAGCCCAACCCTAACCCTAGCTCCAACACTAACCCTAACTCCAACCCTAACCCTAACCCTAACCCTAGCTCCAACCCTAACCCTAACCCTAACCCATGCATTCCTATGGGAAAAAATCAAATTTTTTTAGGAACGTCCTAGAGACTCGGGAGTTGGTTCATTGCACTCAGAAAAATCCTAACTCCAAGCCCAACCCTAACCCTAGCTCCAACACTAACCCTAACTCCAACCCTAACCCTAACCCTAACCCTAGCTCCAACCCTAACCCTAACCCTAACCCATGCATTCCTATGGGAAAAAATCAAATTTTTTTAAGGAACGTCCTAGAGACTCGGGAGTTGGTTCATTGCACTCAGAAAAATCCTAGCTCCAAGCCCAACCCTAACCCTAACCCTAACCCTAACCCTAACTCCAACCCTAACCCTAACCCTAACCCTAGCTCCAACCCTAACCCTAACCCTAACCCATGCATTCCTATGGGAAAAAAATCATTTTTTTTTAGGAACGTCCTAGAGACTCGGGAGTTGGTTCATTGCACTCAGAAAAATCCTAGCTCCAAGCCCAACCCTAACCCTAGCTCCAACACTAACCCTAACTCCAACCCTAACCCTAACCCTAACCCTAGCTCCAACCCTAACCCTAACCCTAACCCATGCATTCCTATGGGAAAAAATCAAATTTTTTTAGGAACGTCCTAGAGACTCGGGAGTTGGTTCATTGCACTCAGAAAAATCCTAGCTCCAAGCCCAACCCTAACCCTAGCTCCAACACTAACCCTAACTCCAACCCTAACCCTAACCCTAACCCTAGCTCCAACCCTAACCCTAACCCTAACCCATGCATTCCTATGGGAAAAAATCAAATTTTTTTAAGGAACGTCCTAGAGACTCAGGAGTTGGTTCATTGCACTCAGAAAAATCCTAGCTCCAAGCCCAACCCTAACCCTAGCTCCAACACTAACCCTAACTCCAACCCTAACCCTAACCCTAACCCTAGCTCCAACCCTAACCCTAACCCTAACCCATGCATTCCTATGGGAAAAAATCTAATATTTTAAAGGAACATCCTAGAGACTCGGGAGTTGGTTCATTGCACTCAGAAAAATCCTAGCTCCAAGCCCAACCCTAACCCTAACCCTAACTCCAACCCTAACCCTAACCCTAACCCTAGCTCCAACCCTAACCCTAACCCTAACCCATGCATTCCTATGGGAAAAAAATCAATTTTTTTAGGAACGTCCTAGAGACTCGGGAGTTGGTTCATTGCACTCAGAAAAATCCTAGCTCCAAGCCCAACCCTAGCCCTAGCTCCAACACTAACCCTAACTCCAACCCTAACCCTAACCCTAGCTCCAACCCTAACCCTAACCCTAACCCATGCATTCCTATGGGAAAAAATCAAATTTTTTAAAGGAACGTCCTAGAGACTCGGGAGTTGGTTCATTGCACTCAGAAAAATCCTAGCTCCAAGCCCAACCCTAACCCTAGCTCCAACACTAACCCTAACTCCAACCCTAACCCTAACCCTAACCCTAGCTCCAACCCTAACCCTAACCCTAACCCATGCATTCCTATGGGAAAAAATCATTTTTTTTCAGGAACGTCCTAGAGACTCAGGAGTTGGTTCATTGCACTCAGAAAAATCCTAGCTCCAAGCCCAACCCTAACCCTAGCTCCAACACTAACCCTAACTCCAACCTTAACCCTAACCCTAACCCTAACCCTAACCCTAGCTCCAACCCTAACCCTAACCCTAACCCATGCATTCCTATGGGAAAAAATAAAAATTTTTTAAGGAACGTCCTAGAGACTCGGGAGTTGGTTCATTGCACTCAGAAAAATCCTAGCTCCAAGCCCAACCCTAACCCTAGCTCCAACACTAACCCTAACTCCAACCCTAACCCTAACCCTAACCCTAGCTCCAACCCTAACCCTAACCCTAACCCATGCATTCCTATGGGAAAAAATCAAATTTTTTTAGGAACGTCCTAGAGACTCGGGAGTTGGTTCATTGCACTCAGAAAAATCCTAGCTCCAAGCCCAACCCTAACCCTAGCTCCAACACTAACCCTAACTCCAACCCTAACCCTAACCCTAGCTCCAACCCTAACCCTAACCCTAACCCATGCATTCCTATGGGAAAAAATCAAATTTTTTTAGGAACGTCCTAGAGACTCGGGAGTTGGTTCATTGCACTCAGAAAAATCCTAGCTCCAAGCCCAACCCTAACCCTAGCTCCAACACTAACCCTAACTCCAACCCTAACCCTAACCCTAACCCTAGCTCCAACCCTAACCCTAACCCTAACCCATGCATTCCTATGGGAAGAAATCAATTTTTTTTTAAGGAACGTCCTAGAGACTCGGGAGTTGGTTCATTGCACTCAGAAAAATCCTAGCTCCAAGCCCAACCCTAACCCTAACCCTAACCCTAACCCTAACCCTAACTCCAACCCTAACCCTAACCCTAACCCTAGCTCCAACCCTAACCCTAACCCTAACCCATGCATTCCTATGGGAAAAAATCAATTTTTTTTAGGAACGTCCTAGAGACTCGGGAGTTGGTTCATTGCACTCAGAAAAATCCTAGCTCCAAGCCCAACCCTAACCCTAGCTCCAACACTAACCCTAACTCCAACCCTAACCCTAACCCTAACCCTAGCTCCAACCCTAACCCTAACCCTAACCCATGCATTCCTATGGGAAAAAATCAAATTTTTTTAGGAACGTCCTAGAGACTCGGGAGTTGGTTCATTGCACTCAGAAAAATCCTAGCTCCAAGCCCAACCCTAACCCTAGCTCCAACACTAACCCTAACTCCAACCCTAACCCTAACCCTAGCTCCAACCCTAACCCTAACCCTAACCCATGCATTCCTATGGGAAAAAATCAAATTTTTTTAGGAACGTCCTAGAGACTCGGGAGTTGGTTCATTGCACTCAGAAAAATCCTATCTCCAAGCCCAACCCTAACCCTAGCTCCAACACTAACCCTAACTCCAACCCTAACCCTAACCCTAACCCTAGCTCCAACCCTAACCCTAACCCTAACCCATGCATTCCTATGGGAAAAAATCAAATTTTTTTAAGGAACGTCCTAGAGACTCAGGAGTTGGTTCATTGCACTCAGAAAAATCCTAGCTCCAAGCCCAACCCTAACCCTAGCTCCAACACTAACCCTAACTCCAACCCTAACCCTAACCCTAACCCTAGCTCCAACCCTAACCCTAACCCTAACCCATGCATTCCTATGGGAAAAAATCAAATTTTTTTAGGAACGTCCTAGAGACTCGGGAGTTGGTTCATTGCACTCAGAAAAATCCTAGCTCCAAGCCCAACCCTAACCCTAGCTCCAACACTAACCCTAACTCCAACCCTAACCCTAACCCTAACCCTAGCTCCAACCCTAACCCTAACCCTAACCCATGCATTCCTATGGGAAGAAATCAATTTTTTTTTAGGAACGTCCTAGAGACTCGGGAGTTGGTTCATTGCACTCAGAAAAATCCTAGCTCCAAGCCCAACCCTAACCCTAGCTCCAACACTAACCCTAACTCCAACCCTAACCCTAACCCTAACCCTAGCTCCAACCCTAACCCTAACCCTAACCCATGCATTCCTATGGGAAAAAAATCAAATTTTTTAAAGGGACATCCTAGAGACTCGGGAGTTGGTTCATTGCACTCAGAAAAATCCTAGCTCCAAGCCCAACCCTAACCCTAACCCTAACTCCAACCCTAACCCTAACCCTAACCCTAGCTCCAACCCTAACCCTAACCCTAACCCATGCATTCCTATGGGAAAAAATCAAATTTTTTTTAGGAACGTCCTAGAGACTCGGGAGTTGGTTCATTGCACTCAGAAAAATCCTAGCTCCAAGCCCAACCCTAACCCTAGCTCCAACACTAACCCTAACTCCAACCCTAACCCTAACCCTAACCCTAGCTCCAACCCTAACCCTAACCCTAACCCATGCATTCCTATGGGAAGAAATCAATTTTTTTTTAGGAACGTCCTAGAGACTCGGGAGTTGGTTCATTGCACTCAGAAAAATCCTAGCTCCAAGCCCAACCCTAACCCTAGCTCCAACACTAACCCTAACTCCAACCCTAACCCTAACCCTAACCCTAGCTCCAACCCTAACCCTAACCCTAACCCATGCATTCCTATGGGAAAAAATCAAATTTTTTTAGAAACGTCCTAGAGACTCGGGAGTTGGTTCATTGCACTCAGAAAAATCCTAGCTCCAAGCCCAACCCTAACCCTAGCTCCAACACTAACCCTAACTCCAACCCTAACCCTAACCCTAACCCTAGCTCCAACCCTAACCCTAACCCTAACCCATGCATTCCTATGGGAAAAAATCAAATTTTTTTAGGAACGTCCTAGAGACTCGGGAGTTGGTTCATTGCACTCAGAAAAATCCTAGCTCCAAGCCCAACCCTAACCCTAGCTCCAACACTAACCCTAACTCCAACCCTAACCCTAACCCTAGCTCCAACCCTAACCCTAACCCTAACCCATGCATTCCTATGGGAAAAAATCAAATTTTTTTAGGAACGTCCTAGAGACTCGGGAGTTGGTTCATTGCACTCAGAAAAATCCTAGCTCCAAGCCCAACCCTAACCCTAGCTCCAACACTAACCCTAACTCCAACCCTAACCCTAACCCTAACCCTAGCTCCAACCCTAACCCTAACCCTAACCCATGCATTCCTATGGGAAAAAATCAAATTTTTTTAAGGAACGTCCTAGAGACTCAGGAGTTGGTTCATTGCACTCAGAAAAATCCTAGCTCCAAGCCCAACCCTAACCCTAGCTCCAACACTAACCCTAACTCCAACCCTAACCCTAACCCTAACCCTAGCTCCAACCCTAACCCTAACCCTAACCCATGCATTCCTATGGGAAAAAATCTAATATTTTAAAGGAACATCCTAGAGACTCGGGAGTTGGTTCATTGCACTCAGAAAAATCCTAGCTCCAAGCCCAACCCTAACCCTAACCCTAACTCCAACCCTAACCCTAACCCTAACCCTAGCTCCAACCCTAACCCTAACCCTAACCCATGCATTCCTATGGGAAAAAAATCAATTTTTTTAGGAACGTCCTAGAGACTCGGGAGTTGGTTCATTGCACTCAGAAAAATCCTAGCTCCAAGCCCAACCCTATCCCTAGCTCCAACACTAACCCTAACTCCAACCCTAACCCTAACCCTAGCTCCAACCCTAACCCTAACCCTAACCCATGCATTCCTATGGGAAAAAATCAAATTTTTAAAGGAACGTCCTAGAGACTCGGGAGTTGGTTCATTGCACTCAGAAAAATCCTAGCTCCAAGCCCAACCCTAACCCTAGCTCCAACACTAACCCTAACTCCAACCCTAACCCTAACCCTAACCCTAGCTCCAACCCTAACCCTAACCCTAACCCATGCATTCCTATGGGAAAAAATCATTTTTTTTCAGGAACGTCCTAGAGACTCAGGAGTTGGTTCATTGCACTCAGAAAAATCCTAGCTCCAAGCCCAACCCTAACCCTAGCTCCAACACTAACCCTAACTCCAACCTTAACCCTAACCCTAACCCTAACCCTAACCCTAGCTCCAACCCTAACCCTAACCCTAACCCATGCATTCCTATGGGAAAAAATAAAAATTTTTTAAGGAACGTCCTAGAGACTCGGGAGTTGGTTCATTGCACTCAGAAAAATCCTAGCTCCAAGCCCAACCCTAACCCTAGCTCCAACACTAACCCTAACTCCAACCCTAACCCTAACCCTAACCCTAGCTCCAACCCTAACCCTAACCCTAACCCATGCATTCCTATGGGAAAAAAATCAAATTTTTTTAGGAACGTCCTAGAGACTCGGGAGTTGGTTCATTGCACTCAGAAAAATCCTAGCTCCAAGCCCAACCCTAACCCTAGCTCCAACACTAACCCTAACTCCAACCCTAACCCTAACCCTAGCTCCAACCCTAACCCTAACCCTAACCCATGCATTCCTATGGGAAAAAATCAAATTTTTTTAGGAACGTCCTAGAGACTCGGGAGTTGGTTCATTGCACTCAGAAAAATCCTAGCTCCAAGCCCAACCCTAACCCTAGCTCCAACACTAACCCTAACTCCAACCCTAACCCTAACCCTAACCCTAGCTCCAACCCTAACCCTAACCCTAACCCATGCATTCCTATGGGAAGAAATCAATTTTTTTTTAGGAACGTCCTAGAGACTCGGGAGTTGGTTCATTGCACTCAGAAAAATCCTAGCTCCAAGCCCAACCCTAACCCTAACCCTAACCCTAACCCTAACTCCAACCCTAACCCTAACCCTAACCCTAGCTCCAACCCTAACCCTAACCCTAACCCATGCATTCCTATGGGAAAAAATCAATTTTTTTTAGGAACGTCCTAGAGACTCGGGAGTTGGTTTATTGCACTCAGAAAAATCCTAGCTCCAAGCCCAACCCTAACCCTAGCTCCAACACTAACCCTAACCTCAACCCTAACCCTAACCCTAACCCTAGCTCCAACCCTAACCCTAACCCTAACCCATGCATTCCTATGGGAAAAAATCAAATTTTTTTAGGAACGTCCTAGAGACTCGGGAGTTGGTTCATTGCACTCAGAAAAATCCTAGCTCCAAGCCCAACCCTAACCCTAGCTCCAACACTAACCCTAACTCCAACCCTAACCCTAACCCTAGCTCCAACCCTAACCCTAACCCTAACCCATGCATTCCTATGGGAAAAAATCAAATTTTTTTAGGAACGTCCTAGAGACTCGGGAGTTGGTTCATTGCACTCAGAAAAATCCTAGCTCCAAGCCCAACCCTAACCCTAGCTCCAACACTAACCCTAACTCCAACCCTAACCCTAACCCTAACCCTAGCTCCAACCCTAACCCTAACCCTAACCCATGCATTCCTATGGGAAAAAATCAAATTTTTTTAAGGAACGTCCTAGAGACTCAGGAGTTGGTTCATTGCACTCAGAAAAATCCTAGCTCCAAGCCCAACCCTAACCCTAGCTCCAACACTAACCCTAACTCCAACCCTAACCCTAACCCTAACCCTAGCTCCAACCCTAACCCTAACCCTAACCCATGCATTCCTATGGGAAAAAATCAAATTTTTTTAGGAACGTCCTAGAGACTCGGGAGTTGGTTCATTGCACTCAGAAAAATCCTAGCTCCAAGCCCAACCCTAACCCTAGCTCCAACACTAACCCTAACTCCAACCCTAACCCTAACCCTAACCCTAGCTCCAACCCTAACCCTAACCCTAACCCATGCATTCCTATGGGAAGAAATCAATTTTTTTTTAGGAACGTCCTAGAGACTCGGGAGTTGGTTCATTGCACTCAGAAAAATCCTAGCTCCAAGCCCAACCCTAACCCTAGCTCCAACACTAACCCTAACTCCAACCCTAACCCTAACCCTAACCCTAGCTCCAACCCTAACCCTAACCCTAACCCATGCATTCCTATGGGAAAAAATCAAATTTTTTAAAGGAACGTCCTAGAGACTCGGGAGTTGGTTCATTGCACTCAGAAAAATCCTAGCTCCAAGCCCAACCCTAACCCTAACCCTAACTCCAACCCTAACCCTAACCCTAACCGTAGCTCCAACCCTAACCCTAACCCTAACCCATGCATTCCTATGGGAAAAAATCAAATTTTTTTAGGAACGTCCTAGAGACTCGGGAGTTGGTTCATTGCACTCAGAAAAATCCTAGCTCCAAGCCCAACCATAACCCTAGCTCCAACACTAACCCTAACTCCAACCCTAACCCTAACCCTAACCCTAGCTCCAACCCTAACCCTAACCCATGCATTCCTATGGGAAAAAATCAAATTTTTTTAGAAACGTCCTAGAGACTCGGGAGTTGGTTCATTGCACTCAGAAAAATCCTAGCTCCAAGCCCAACCCTAACCCTAGCTCCAACACTAACCCTAACTCCAACCCTAACCCTAACCCTAACCCTAGCTCCAACCCTAACCCTAACCCTAACCCATGCATTCCTATGGGAAAAAATCAAATTTTTTAAAGGAACGTCCTAGAGACTCGGGAGTTGGTTCATTGCACTCAGAAAAATCCTAGCTCCAAGCCCAACCCTAACCCTAGCTCCAACACTAACCCTAACTCCAACCCTAACCCTAACCCTAGCTCCAACCCTAACCCTAACCCTAATCCTTGCATTCCTATGGGAAAAAATCAAATTTTTTTAGGAACGTCCTAGAGACTCGGGAGTTGGTTCATTGCACTCAGAAAAATCCTAGCTCCAAGCCCAACCCTAACCCTAGCTCCAACACTAACCCTAACTCCAACCCTAACCCTAACCCTAACCCTAGCTCCAACCCTAACCCTAACCCTAACCCATGCATTCCTATGGGAAAAAATCAAATTTTTTTAAGGAACGTCCTAGAGACTCAGGAGTTGGTTCATTGCACTCAGAAAAATCCTAGCTCCAAGCCCAACCCTAACCCTAGCTCCAACACTAACCCTAACTCCAACCCTAACCCTAACCCTAACCCTAGCTCCAACCCTAACCCTAACCCTAACCCATGCATTCCTATGGGAAAAAATCAATTTTTTTTAGGAACGTCCTAGAGACTCGGGAGTTGGTTCATTGCACTCAGAAAAATCCTAGCTCCAAGCCCAACCCTAACCCTAGCTCCAACACTAACCCTAACTCCAACCCTAACCCTAACCCTAACCCTAGCTCCAACCCTAACCCTAACCCTAACCCATGCATTCCTATGGGAAGAAATCAATTTTTTTTTAGGAACGTCCTAGAGACTCGGGAGTTGGTTCATTGCACTCAGAAAAATCCTAGCTCCAAGCCCAACCCTAACCCTAGCTCCAACACTAACCCTAACTCCAACCCTAACCCTAACCCTAACCCTAGCTCCAACCCTAACCCTAACCCTAACCCATGCATTCCTATGGGAAAAAATCAAATTTTTTTAGAAACGTCCTAGAGACTCGGGAGTTGGTTCATTGCACTCAGAAAAATCCTAGCTCCAAGCCCAACCCTAACCCTAGCTCCAACACTAACCCTAACTCCAACCCTAACCCTAACCCTAACCCTAGCTCCAACCCTAACTAATGCATTCCTATGGGAAAAAATCAAATTTTTTTAGGAACGTCCTAGAGACTCGGAAGTTGGTTCATTGCACTCAGAAAAATCCTAGCTCCAAGCCCAACCCTAACCCTAGCTCCAACACTAACCCTAACTCCAACCTTAACCCTAACCCTAACCCTAGCTCCAACCCTTACCCTAACCCTAACCCATGCATTCCTATGGGAAAAAATCAAATTTTTTTAGGAACGTCCTAGAGACTCGGGAGTTGGTTCATTGCACTCAGAAAAATCCTAGCTCCAAGCCCAACCCTAACCCTAGCTCCAACACTAACCCTAACTCCAACCCTAACCCTAACCCTAACCCCAACCCTAACCCTAACCCTAACCCATGCATTCCTATGGGAAAAAATCAAATTTTTTTAGGAACGTCCTAGAGACTCGGGAGTTGGTTCATTGCACTCAGAAAAATCCTAGCTCCAAGCCCAACCCTAACCCTAGCTCCAACACTAACCCTAACTCCAACCCTAACCCTAACCCTAACCCTAGCTCCAACCCTAACCCTAACCCTAACCCATGCATTCCTATGGGAAAAAATCAAATTTTTTTAGGAACGTCCTAGAGACTCGGGAGTTGGTTCATTGCACTCAGAAAAATCCTAGCTCCAAGCCCATCCATAACCCTAGCTCCAACACTTACCCTAACTCCAACCCTAACCCTAACCCTAACCCTAGCTCCAACCCTAACCCTAACCCTAACCCTAACCCATGCATTCCTATGGGAAAAAATCAAATTTTTTTAGGAACGTCCTAGAGACTCGGGAGTTGGTTCATTGCACTCAGAAAAATCCTAGCTCCAAGCCCAACCCTAACCCTAGCTCCAACACTAACCCTAACTCCAACCCTAACCCTAACCCTAACCCTAGCTCCAACCCTAACCCTAACCCTAACCCTAGCTCCAACCCTAACCCTAACCCTAACCCTAGCTCCAACCTTAAAAGGAGGAGTCTGTATGTTACGATGGAGTATTAGGGCCACATTTAGAAAAAAAAATAAGACTTCAAGATTTAAGTTATTAATTTACGAGAACAAAGTCATTACTAACGAGAATAATGTCATAATAAACTAATTGATAACGAGAATAAAGTTGTAATAAAATTATCATGTTACTTATGATAATGTGGTGCTGATGTGCCATAAGATTAAGTACCTCCTTGTTTGAGAAACTTATATTGAACTACATTTTCACAAAATGCTCCATGGCTTTCATTTCAACAACTGTCATCTTAAACAACAAGTTAGAATATAAGGACTTTTTTTCCATTTCGACTTTTATAAAAAATTTCAACTTTGATCTTGAAATTTCAACTTTAATCTGAAATGGAGATTAAAAAAATCGCCCTCCTGTAATCATTTTTTTTCTGTTCATGTGGCCCTAATCCTCTTTCGTAGTATGTACACTCTGAAAGGAAATCAAAGCTTTTACACTGATTTTTAAACAAACCGGTCTGAGATTTATGCTGCAGAACCAGGACCCATACACGTTGTTACAGACAGGATTGTGCAAGTTGACACCAAAAGTGAGCGAAATGAAGTTTCAGTTCTCACAGGTAAAAAATTTGGAGAAGATCAACCGAATAGAGTCTGAAAGTCAAACTAACTCCATATTGCAATATAATAGTTATCAACCACTTTTAAAGTCATAAGCTGTTTGGATATTTGGTGATGACCATGTTAGAGCATAGTCTTCAAAGTAAACACAAGCATTGATGCCAACAACTGCTCAAAATAGAAATAACTAAAGAATTACATAAAAAATAAGAACATAACAGCAGCTAAGCAACAGTATGCAGAAACTACTTCAATGCAAAAAATCTCAAGGCTGTTGCTATTGATTATTTAACACAGACTAATGTTAGGAGCAGGAGAACAATTCAGATGTTAGCTCTATATTTTTGGACCTATTTTTTCCTGATTTTATGAGACCTTTGGAAAATTGTGCAGCTATGTCTCCATGTAAGTAATGTAATAATATAAAAGACGAAGGTTACAATATGCAAGAAAGGCGCTGAAATAGATTTGCAGATACTTCAATGGAGCCCTTGAAGAGTTCTGAAAGTGATTGGTGCCTGTATGTACTTTAAAGCACTTGTGATTCAAGCAGCAAATAACAGATGTTTGCCTCTGTATTTCTTGCCTCTAGCAGTATCTACTCTGCTTCAAGCTCATCATTTCACTTAAACACAGGGTCAAACTTCACAGGGATACACCAAGTCAAGTGCTCTCTTGATGGTCAGTTGTTAACAGCTATCTAGTTTAACAAGTGTGGCTGTAGTCTATGAAACAGGATGAAACGTAATATGACAGAGGACAAGGATGGCCGTGGCATAAGCCTTTAGTTCTTTACTACTGAGCTCTTTCAGTCACTTAAGCTCTCTATCAATACCTTTGTGCTGTCTCTTTAACTCTTAAGCTTTTCTTTCTTTCTGTTTTTTTTTTCTTCCATTTTTCATATTTTTTTCCCCTCGCTTTAGCCCGGGGTAGTTGTAGCCTTGCTTTCATGTTTATGTGCACAATGTGAATGTATTCATCCTAGTCCAGGGCACATATGTACATGGGTCTTGGCCTCCCACTCAATTTGGATGGGGGCTCTTTTTTTTGCATTTTGTGTGCGGATAAAAAGCCATTCCAGGGAGACGAAGCAGGCTGGAAGCTGCAGAAGGGTAAGAAACCAATTCATCTTGCAGTAAACACAGACTTTGAGGTGAGTGGATAAATTGCAATACCAGACCGTCAGTGAAAAGATTGGCTTTTTCTGCCTTGTTGATCTTTTACTGTCATTATTGTTGTTAGATCAGATTCAGAAAAGGTCATTAATGTCATCCAGGAAAAAAATTAATAAATAAAAAATAAAAAATGTGTATTTCAGAGTGTAAATCAATAAGAAAAAAAAGCTGACTTTAGTACTAATATAAAAAAGAGCCCAGGAAAAAGATCCTGATAAAGAAAGATCCTGAACTGTCGCTCTACCCTCAATACTGTGTGTCTATCTTTATTCACTGAGACCCTACAGTATGAAACAGCTGTGTAGTCGGGGTGAAAGTGTTGTAGACACCAACTAGTCCTAGCATACAGTATACACCTTGTAAAATTTACGCTATGCTTATTTAGCACAGTATTAATGTTTCATTTTTAAAGCAAAGATGATTCTCGTAAATACAGATATATTGTGGCAGCCGTTGTTTAAATCTGACAAATTTTGACAAAATTATTTTTAAAGACATCATAATGTTTAGTCATGTTACAAAAATATAATATATCTTATAACGGTATCATTAATAACAAGCTAACAAATTTGCTGTGTGCTGCCTGTCACCCAGAAGAGAGTAGTAGTTTTTAAAGTTCCCCATCATCACATTACAGTCTTCACCTCCTTTCAAAAGCAGCTTTGTCTTCATTTCTTCTCTGTCTGTATTACTGTGTGTGTGTGTGTGTGAGAGAGAGAGAGAGAGACAAAATAATTAAACATTGTAGCATGGGGTCATGGTAGACTAGTCTGAAAAGGACTTTTTCTATAGCAACAAGGCACTCTGAATGTCTGCAGGTATTTGTGTGAAAGCTCCTTCATACTTCATCAATTTAGAGACAGCTGTGACTGCACTGACCTGCTAGTTGATGAAAAAAAAGAAAAACTTTTCTGCAGAAGAATTCTCAGAAAAAAGGATTATAAAAAAAGAACTAAAGAAAGAAAATGACATTATTTTAGTCAGTGAATAAATTGACGTTCAAGGCTTTTGAGCTCTTTGATCCTAAAGTGGAAATGAAATGTCATTGACAACAAAGGAAGATGATCATTTTTCTCATTTTACATGCATTAAGTCTACTCAGTTATCCAACTTCAAATGCACAGTAAAAAGCAGCAGAGGATGTTTTCGTGCATTTCTGATGGTAGTTGAGACACTCTGTTCATACTGAGGGTAGTTACTTAAATAGCATACTCACTAATTAGTGTGCTGGTAGTGTCCACACAAACTCCAGTCATTCTCAGCAAAGTAGAGGCACAGTGCAGCGCTTTGTTACAGTCTGAAAACAACCTGCTGAGAATCAAGGACCTGCTAGTGAAGTTCAAACAGCTGATATTGTAGGAGGAAAGAGGATCATGATTACTCATGTTTCAAAAGAGGAGTTGAAACCCAGATTAGAGGAGTTCAGAAGGTAGTGAAGGTAATCAACATGTTTCTATGCAGTATTTAAAAAGGGGGTGTTATGCATTTTTTCAGACCCTATACTTCCTTTCTGATACCTCTTTAATAGCTTTAGGTGATTTGTGTTTCTCACTCTGGTGTATTAAAATATCATTATTTCCGCCTCTGTATGAAATGCTTTGTTTTAGCTGCTGTCTTTAACCCGGGAGTCAAGGTTCATTGCAACCATGACCATCAAGCTTTTTAAAGAGGTTGGGTTAACATTAACTTTCCTTATTTTATCATGCACTAGTGATCTAACATGTTCAACTGCTTTGGTGTCATCTTTTAAAACGCCTATAGAGCAGTTTGACATTATGTAAAATGATTTTTTTTCAGCCAAATAAAACCAATGGTTGCTTAAAAAGGTCTACACAGAGTGTGATTTGCCTTAAATTAATTTAGGTTTAAAAACAAACTTTAAAGTAATATTTTGGATTTACATTGGCTTGGTCTTTAAAGGATTAGTGGTGGGAAAAAAGTCTAAGTAGCAGTTCATAAGGCATCTCAGAATATACAGGCTTGCCAATATTTTTAATGTGTGACTTGGCATTGAGTGAGCATGTAATTAAATTACGTACATTGTTTGGTTCATTAATTTGCAGCCTCTAGATTTAGTTTCTTCTCTGAAATAAAACTACATTAACTGGCTCCTTTTTTGTCTCAGAGACGGGAGGAAGATCAGTGTATTTGTACCTTTTTCTCAATGATAATGTCACTGATTAAATTCTTTGTGGTCCTCAGTTTTCCTTGAATCAAACCTTTCAAGCAGCACTCCTTTCTCCAAGGAAACAAGTTCAGACTCTGACAGTGACAGTGACTCTCACCTCTTCAGTGATACTTGGTCAAACATCATAGCAAACTGGGACCTTCTACACTTTACCTATTGAACCAAGCCATTCACAAAGCAATTCTTCACATATCATCCACTCAGCGTGTCATTGACTAGAGTTAATTCAAACACCAGAACTGTCAGAGTTCACTGACCTGAGATTACACACTCTGCATGTGAATCCTTGACTTCCTCAAGGACAGCTTCAGTTACGGTAAATGGTAGACGGTCTGTTCATGTAGCACTTTCTCTCGCCCTCTGACTGCTCAAAGCACTTCCACTACATGCCACGTTTACACATTCATCCCACTTTCATACACCGATAGCTGAGGATGCTACACAGAGCATCCACCAGTACTGACTAATCCCATTCACACATCCCTGCCTATTCTACTGTACTGGTATTGTGTCTTTTCTGATAGTTAATTTGTAACTTTGGTGTTGTCTAACATCAGTCAATGAAAAGTCTTTCAACTGTTGTCATTACTGTTATTAAAACGATTATCTTTTTCAAACTAATTCATTTAGCTGATCATAAATTGAAATCAAGGTTGTACCAAGTTTTTAATCTTTAAAGCAACATTTAATTGTCTAAACACATTTACTTTTGTAATCTTTTATTGGATAATTCAGCCTAGATTAATCACTTTGTAGAGATGGGCTTCAGCTTTGGAGTTTATATTATTTCTACATGCCTTCGTCTAAAGTGTCTGAGTCTGTACTGAAAATACAACAACATGTGACTGTTGTTTGAAGCAATTGGAAAGGAAACTTTTCTAGAAATTTTTTTTTATGTAAAATTTGTGAATGATTAAAGTTTAAAAGGAAAAACAGGCTACTCTACCAAACGTGGAAACTCATGTTTAATATTTGCAAATATGAAAAATATGGTTGGGCTTTCTGACAATACGGTAAGTGTACAACTGTGCAACTGTAATTTCCAAAATCCATAAATGCAGGAGCGGTGTAGTGGTGCTTCTAACCATCAGAGAGGGCTGTCATCAGTTTACACACCCCCAGATGCAGAGTCCATAGTTTTAAAGTCTATTGTTAGTGTGGCACTTTTAGCTCATCATTATCTCGCCTTTATCACAGTAAAAAAGGTTGTTGGGTGAATTTAGGACACTCCCACATGTGGATCATTAAAGATGGGATCAAACCACCCACCATCTGACCAAGAAACAAGCTGTGGCTCACTGCTGAAGATGGAAACACCACATTCACTTCTTTAGTGCTTGTGTACAACAGGACTGTGTTTTAAGCCCACTGCTGTATCCCTTATCATTACATGACTATGTGGCTAATTTCAGCTCCAAATACTACTAGGTTTAATGACACGGCTCAAACTGACAAGGAAAAATAGACCAGAAAGCCTCTTAGGACTTGAGTAGCTGGTCTCAGACAAAGACCTACTCCTGAATGCCAGAAAAACTTAAAACTGGTGGCAGGCTGAGCCAAGAAGCAGGAAAAGGGATAAAAAACGATAGTAAAGATGGTGGTAGGCAATGGTATGCCCTTTCCAGCATGTGTTATTGTATGATAATTTCACCGGGTCTTTTAAGAATAGAACTATGATAATGATTGCATCCAAACCACCCAGATAAAGCCTTTTTCCTCCCTGCTGTGGTTGGCAAGAAGACACTGGATACACCATGCCAGATTACATGGAGCAGGGTGAAGGGAGTCGATAATTGGCCTGGTATTAAAGCAGTCTGACATGATGCCATTTGATGCTGAATGGAACTGTATCTGTGAGATCAACTGTGCTATCCAGTGAGAGACTCTGGGCCTGGCACATATTGCTTTTGTAATAGCCTATCATCAGTTAAGATTCCTATCTGGGATGTGATTTTGATCTCACAGAAATAGGATATATTAAGAAAGACAGCTTTTTTTCCCCCTGTATTCAGGTATAAAGAAAAATGAATACTATGATAATAAAATAAATTTCTTTTTCTTTTTTCATTTAAACAAACAGATCACTACCTCTTTTCCACACTCTCTGCCTATCAGACATGATGATGACAAAGATATGAAGTTGCCACATCAACCACATGATGGGTGCGTTAGTGTGCTTGTTTATTGCTGTATCACAGGTAAAAAAGAAGGTGCTATAAATAAGCAGATTTAGTCATTATTTTTAAAATGCATCACAGCCTGTCATTGTGCATTTTATTAGATTTTTGTGAGTTGAATCCCTGTCACTGAGGTAATAGATGATTATCTATTCCTGTCTTAACAAGATCACTTTAGTTTCTTGGATTTTTTCCCTCCAAAAGTCAGCGTGATAACAGCTGCAGCTTTACCTGCTGTGTTACTTGTGGAATGGTTACTTTAATATCTTGATTCTGTCAGAGATTTCTTAAGCTTCATACAGGAATATGCAACGGCAGATTAGGCAAGAAATCCAAACTTAGCTCTGTGCCATATGCGTTCAAAGATGAAACTGCAAGGCACCTCAGAGATCCTAATTATTCAGACAAAAAAGAAAATCCTCTCTCTACAAAGGCTCATGCCTGTTTGCAAGTCTGTAAGGCACTCTTGGGGCATCAGTTCAGACTGTAATCACTGTGCAGGGATTCCTTGCATCAGCGAGCTTTCAAATTAGATAGTAAAGTAAAGGCAAAGTGGATTCATCAGCATTAGATTAGAATTACATTAGGGCTTAGATAGAAATGTTTCTGGGAGATAAACACCCAGTCAACTGGTAGAAAAAGGTTAAGTTTAAACACTACTGGAAGGCCAGTAAGAAACACAAAACAAAAGTCTGACAGTGTCCAGAAGACTTCGGTGCCATAGGGAGAAAGAAACATCACTGCCCCTTAAAAGAGATCTGAACCATTTAAATGATCACTCAAACAGGAGAAGATCAAATTTTTCGCCATGACAGCTCCTGAGGAGCAAGTGCTACACATCATAAATTTACATCTTTCAGTGTAGGATGTTGAAAGTCATACATTTGTTTGAATGTCTCAGCAGTGTGCTCATTTCCCAAAACAAACAAGTACAGAAATGAATTTTATTCTCATTTGTAGCCCAAGGCCTCATTTCCTCTCTAAAGGTTTCTACTGTGTTGCTGAGTTTCTGATAATCAGGACAAAGCATATTCATTTCCATCCAAATTTGTTACAGGGCGATGATTTGCTTTGGTAGGGCCGAGTCATGGTATTACCAGCGTTAGGCAAGTCACCAAAAATAAGTTTTTAGTCAGAGTCACTCATTGTTGCTACTACAGAGTACCTTCAATCAATCCATTTTTGTTTATTGTTATGACTTTGTGTTTGCATGTGTGTTTTTCCCCTTTGTCCTCCCTATCTGCCCAGGTGGAGTCTGTGATTGGCAATCAGTCTCACCTGAGCCTCAGAGTTTTAAGGCCCAGAGCTTCCTGCAGTTGGGAGAGGCAGTTTGTGGGGAACTGCTGCCCCAGGGAGTCAATGAAGAGAGGTTGCGACAAGGGTTTGCTTTTTTTTTCCTTAGTTCTAGTCAACACTGAGCTGCGGCATTTTGGACCAGCTGTAGAGTCCTTAAAGACCTATTAGAGCAGCAATCCAGCCTCGAGTCCAAAAGCATGACAGTTTTTCTTTTTCTTTTTTTTGCATTGGTGAAAGACAGGATGTGTCTAATGTTTTTAGATATTGTGTAGGTGAAAAAGGCTGTCCTAGAAATTTGTTGAATGTGGGAGTGGAAGGACAAATCCTGATCAAATAAAACTCCCAGATTTCTTACAGTGGGACTGGATGCCAGACCGATGCCATCTTGGTAGTTATAGAGGTTTCATATTGACTATATATTTTCTTGTCCTTTATCTCAAGCAGGCGAAAATAGATCTGATATTTACAAGACAGAAAGCTTAGTAAGTAAACCCTCGCTGCTGAGTTAGATGATCAGTCTTGTGTGGTTGCAGGCTATGTGATGTTAAATAAGCAGACCTTTTAAATGTCTGTATTTGGATTAAATTTGAAAAGTGACAAGCTTCTGCAAATTATACTGGAGTAACAGTAAGTAGCGGGGCTACAATTATGCATCATTTGGTGTCAGGATGATTTTCTTTAGCCAGTCATGTCATCCTTTAGGGTGGTGGAGCTGTGTAACTCAAATACCATGGATACTTTGGTGCTAGATTTCTGGAGCCATGGGCCTCCAACAACCATCCTCAACAAGGACCTTGTACACATGTTTAAAGGGATATTCTGGCGTAAAAATTAATTTAGGGTCAAACACATAGCCATAGCACTAGCCATCTTGTTTTTAGCGAGACCTCGACCAGTCCATCATCACCACACTTTCTATCTTCCAGCAGCCGCTTGAGGGGGGTGGGGTGGGGAGGGGGGTGATAAAGTAATGATCATAAATGTTCTTCCTTCAGCTGCGCTCCCCACCTCAAGCGGCTGCTGGAAGAGAGTAGGTGAGTTGTGTTTAGACTCTTTGCTTAAGAAATCAGGCAAAGCTAAAAAGATGTTTGGTGGCTAGTGCTGTGCCTGGGACCCTATATGTACTGTTGATGAAGTTAGGTGCCGTTCTGAGCATTGTTTGTGGCTATAGAGGGACGTTGTGGTTGAGGTTTGTGTGTGGCTCCTTAGACTGCTGTGTATTGCTATCCTGTGGTCGTTACTAAAGTTGGTATAACTGGAGAAGCAAGTGGTCGGCAACATTCAGCTCTCGAGGGGGTGTCTAACTCAGTGTTTGACTCTAAATTAATTTTATGCTGGAATATCCTTTTAACAACACTCAAGCTCCCAAAATATGCTGTGCTTTGTTATTACTCTACATGGACTATCCTTCAGGTCAACAAGATGTAAGCAAAATGTTTGAAAACATGGACGGCTATATATACCTGAACACTCTCAGACCAGTCTTTGTTACATTTGTGGCAGGATGAAGCTGCAACCCAGATCTACAACTGGTAAAGCATGTCAAAAGATATTACAGGTGATTAATTACACAAGGATAACTTGTAGTAGGTGACTGAATTTTGGATGAAATAATAGTGTGTTTTTGGTCACTCAGTAAAACATGGCTGCTGTCCATGGTGCTGTTTACTGCTGGCCTGTGCTGTGAAGGTAACACAAGAGCTGTCCGTGGTGCTGATTCTGACAGCCCTCATCATTATGCCTCAGTGTAACTATGCTATTCACATGAGAAAGGAACCTGCTAATTATTCAAGTCAGCCTCATATTTTCCTATCTGCATGCTGAACAGTGGCTAAGTTTGATGCAGCTCTCCACATGAGGCTGCAAAATCTGTATTCATAATGGCTCCTTCAATAGAGCATATACAATGTGACGGATATTACAGTTTTTATACTTGTTAGTTGCCAACTGTTTGGTCTGGTAAGTCAGTTATTTAGCCTGCTCTGCTGAGCAGTAGCACTTTTCTTATTGTCAGCTGTATCCACTATATGATGAGTAATAATAGCCCAGGGAAAATCATAATGTGCTTCAGTGAGTCTCTGCACCTGGGGCCAATTCTCTTTTCTCTGACAGCTACAATAAGCATATAGAATTAGTTTAAGTCAGCTTACAACCATATATAAATGTTGTGTGAGTGTGCACATACCTGACCAAAGAAAAGCACCCTGACTGAGGTGAGACAATCATCCCATGTCTTGTTAAAGGGTAAAGGAGTATTTGTATGACCTCAAATGTTATTAAGTGATCTGCTGATCACACTTTAACAGGGTCTTTCATTGTTTTCAGATGATGAATTCTTTAGCTTTGCTCATAATCCAATAAGGTCAGAAGACAATATGCCCCCCCATCTATCCATTTTCTTCCACTTATCCAGGGTGAGGTTGCAGAGGCAGCTGCCCAAGCAAGATGACACAGCAACATTGTCAGCTCCTCCTGTGAGATACAGAGGTGTTCTCAGGCCCAGTGGGATTAACAGTCCGTCAAGCAGGGTCTGGGTCTACCCTTGAGCCTTCTGCACACCGAAAACACCTCCAAATAGGAGCACCCAAAAAGCAAACTTATCAAATGCCCAAACCATTTCAACTGGCTTCTTTCAATGTGATGTGAGGGAGCACCTGCTCCATCTGATAATAAATTAAATCCCCATCATCCTTAGCCTTACAATTTGTGTTTATTTCTTTTTTTTTCTACTTTGCTCACACAACTAGGTGGTAAATATTGTCAACATCATACCTGCTAAATATTGACATGTTAAGTCAAATAAATGCTGTGACTAATAACAGCCCGCAGGAGTTGCCAGTCAGACTGTAGGATCTAAGTCTCGTAAACATTGTGATAAAGATGTAAATATTTATTAGTGCCTTTCGAATTGGAAGAAGAAAATCTGACAGTTTGCAACTGTTTATCAGAATTATCTCGTACTCAGCTCTTCCACTCCTGAGTTTCTGAGGAAACCAACAGGGAAATTACATCCAGTTAAAAGCGGAGTTAACTCAGTCTTATAAACTATATAACGTGGTTTATATAATTCAGGCTTTCATCTGTATTTATGAGTTGATGGTGCATCAGCTTCAATGTCCTCAGGTCCTGATCATACTCTGCAGTGAAGTGGAGTTGGATTGTGGGGTATAAAGTGTGAAAAATGAATGTTCATTTCTGTTAGATCCATCTTTATAACTTTAAGTGCTCTCTCTCTCTCTAATGGCAGTACGCAGGTGGGATGCAAACATCCAAGCATGAATCTGTGCCCACAGTCGCACAAACACTGAAGAATGGTCATACAAACAAACCCCTCCACACACCCATCAGATTTGCTATTTTTAATTAGAGACAGAGCCTTCTCTCTCCCAGTCCCTCTCTTTGTTTTGTCTCGCGCGGCCTCCACTTGCAACTCATGGCAATCTGTTCATTGTGCCATGATATTAGGTGATTAAAAATCACCATATTGGAAGATGGGGTGGAGAGAATGAAAATGGAAAAAGAAGCAGAGAGAAATGATGTGGTTGCCATACCGACACCTGGGTTGAATATGAAATTTACCAGATGCATCTTGACAGCTATTGATATTCTAAGCAGCTTTCATGGACTGAAAAACACTCGATAAGAAACGCAAACAATAGATAAACGAAAATCACTACGACAGCCTCTAAGACCAGCAAACCCCCCTGTACATTATTCTAATCTATGTTGCTTCAAGCTACTGTACTTAGAGGACCTCTGAATGAGGATTGCAGGGTGCAGAAGTGATAACAAAAACCCTTTTCTCTTCATCGTGTACATACAACGGTGACTCACAGGATTTGATGTGTGATTTTCATGCTGAAGTAAGAAAGGTGAACTGTTTTAATTGATATGATGCAGCAGGTGTTATTTCAAAATTGGCAAGAAATGACATAATGTAATGTGGAGGGTTTATGCACTCACTCAGATCCTTTGCAGCACCATGAAACCGGGATAGACAGAAACAAGAAAACAAGTCACAGTGGTCTACCTGCATCTGTAAGTACAGGACAACGAATTTAGCAGATCCTGCCCAGCGGGAACAATAAGTGCTTGTTAGCGTCCACATAAACACTCTCCTTACACACGATGATGGTAGTGGCGATTCTGATCGCACTGAGTCAATTATCCTGAGTTTGTTTCCTGTGAAAATGGCAGGTAGAAATCTGATGAAAGCCAAAAGTGAACCTAACTCCTCTATTTTGCCCATTTGCATAGCTTTGATCGCACCAGCATGAGACAGAAATATAAATCACATCACAAGAAATGTGTTCCGCCATAATGGAGAAGATGCGCCCTGAATTATTACTCAGTCAGATAACATACATACCATTTCCAGTGTTTTGCAACAACAAACAGGCTATTAATCACATATTATCAGATTGTGAAATTGTTGACTTATCCATTACCAGCAGAGTCATTAGGCCTTGTTGATAGAGGAAAACAGAGGAGGCATAGGACTGAAACACAAATAACCTTGTACCTCAGGTTCCAATTTGCCACAACTGATTTCACTCAATACTGTGGAATGAATGAAATCTGAGTTGTATGTATAATTGGATGGCTTCAGCATTAAACATCGTAAGATGTAAGAGCTATTCGGCACACAAACAGAGAAAACAAAATGAATATTTGTTGGACTGACTGAAGTAATACATTTCAATTTAATCCTTCCTGCAGTGTTTGTCCTTTAAATCAATATAAATGTTGAATGGTAATATCTGTAGTGGAGATTTATGACCTAGTTTAGCTGTTAGCTGCCCAGCTTTGTTACCGGTAGTGTTCAATACATTATATTAATTGATAAAAACCCATTGACTGCAGTTATTAGGGGCAGCTGTGGCTCAGTGTTAGAGCTGGTTGTCTCTTAATTTCAAGTTTGGGGGTTCAATCTCTGGCCCTGCTGTCTGAAATGCTTTAATGGAGTAAAATATTGAACCCCATATTGTCCCTGTATGGTGGCTGTGCCAGTAATGTGTGAATGAGGTCGGTTCATACTGATGCTAACACTTTGCATAACAACAACTGCTACAACATGTTTGAGACATGTCACCTCTGCTTGATTTGTCAAAAAATTAGTGTCCTGCAATCCAGGCAATGGCAGCAGTGGTGATGAATGCATCTCTAAGTTGTTGATTGCAAACTAACTTCAGCCATGAGTGGTAGTGATGATAGTGTGGTTAATGGTGCTAGAAGTTGTGACTTTTGCCTCATTCGTTTCCTGTGTGTCAACTGCAGAAAACTTGCTCATCAGCTTTTAAAATATTGTATCAGATAAGCAGGCGTATGCTTTACAGTGATTAAACCTCAGGAGGAAATGTTCAGTTTGATGTTGCTCTGACCCAAAATTAGGCTGTCAAGAATCTGAAATGAAATAAATAGGGCTATCTTCGAAGCATTCACAATTTAGAATTAATACAAATTAATACAATCAACCTTAAACCTGCATTGTGTGTCAACTTCTTGACAGCTTTACTTAGCAGTAAGGGTAATAGGCAGAATTATGAACAGTAAACAAATGATTATAGAAATTAGAATCAATTATCTCTCCATAATATGGTTACTCTGCAAAAGTAAGTCCCATGCTCTGTTTCAATTTCCACCATCTCTGAAGGAAGGTCACTTCAGGTCAGTCAACATATAAAACTTCATTCATATTGTACTTCGGTAATTCAGAATCAGAATCAGCTTTGTTGGCCAAGTGTTTGTATACATACAAGGAATTTGATGCCGGTAAACTTGGCTCTCTATGTGCAAACATTTAACATGAGGGTTACAAGAATTACAGGGCACATACAAGCATGTACAGTCTGTGTAAATAGAGAATCTGATTTAAGAAGTTATATGATATTAAAAAGTCTTGTGCCAGGCAACGGTTGTTCAAGTTCCTGTCACTGTATTTGAACACAAGCCCAGCAGCTTTCTCTATAACTTTAAAAATTATTATCAGATTTTGGAGGGGATTGTTGGTGTTACATTAGAGATATCGCTGAAGAACAAAGGTGATAGTGCTCCTTAAAGTGACATGGATGTGCACACGGTTCACAAGGCAACAACAGGGAAATAAGTCCTATACTACACCTAGTACGTTTACATGCACAGTTAAGTTGAGTTACAGCCATATGTTGATTAGGTGATTTAAGCTTTGACACCTCATAAAACTCATTGAGATCCTTTTGTGTAATTTTTTACTAAAGACTCTGGACATTTTTATAGAGTTAAATGCAAAAATTCCCAAATTTTCCCTATCTCACAATGATAAAGAATCCTTCAAAAAATTCCTGGATCCAGAAGGCGATCCGGATCACCACTAAAATGTAATGGGATCCTCCTGGGGCTGAGACGCACCTCTGGTGAAAACAACAAAACAAACAAACAAACCAACGCCACCGAAAACATAACCTCCTTGGCGGAGGTAATAATGTGACTGAACTTCGCAGTTGCTTTCTAATAAGCTAAATAATGCAGTTGTTTTCATTGTCATGAAGATTTTTCAAGTTCCATTTGTTTGAAAAAATGTTCTGTTCTGTTTGAAAATCCTGTTCGGAGTAGTGAGAAAAGTAGAACCTTGACCACAAAAGACCTTCTTTACAAAGGAAAACCTGCATAGTTGATGAATTAGACACACAGAACAAAGCTAAACGCAAAGATAATGTTGGACAAAGAGAGAGGAAGTTATCCAAGTGTTTGACCTGATGTATTTTTTTTTCTTCAAATGTACTGGGCTGTACTGACTGGAATTTTCATGGTGAATAATAATCTTTTGTTCATGCAAAGTTAATGAAAAGATAACTTCATCTGTGTTTTGGTGAGCACAGTGTCAGTGCAAAACGCTGAATGCTACGTATCAAAGAAAGGAAGAATGAGGGGACAATGGTACACTTAAAACAATCCTTAAACAGTAACAAAATAAACTGGTGTGTGTGTGGGTGTGTGTGTGTGTGTATGTGTGGGCGCGGGGGGATATTGTATTACATTAACCAGAAGAACAAAGATCGTGAGATGGAAATATGCCTGTTCCTCTGACAGCCATGTTCCCATGACAACTGTTGTTCTGGGCGACATAGGCGGAGACATACTCACAAGTGGTACTGGAGTTGGAGGGATGGCACAACACACACACTCACGCACATGCGCACACACAAACACACACAGCCAGGCGCGTACGATCCCTCCTTCTCAGCTTGACTCTCCAATTTTTGCACCAAAAAGTATTTCAGTCCTCCCCTGCAGCCCAACATACCCCCCTCATGTGTTTGTTCCTTCTCTCTCAACTTGGAGGGGGTTGTCAGTTCTAAAATTCCCGCAAGTCAAATGACAACTAACATCTAGGCCTTTGTGATGTTTCAAAAGCCTTTTGTCTCATAGGCGGCCTCCTTCTGTCTCCCAATTCACTCTTTCATGCCCTTTTTGTGAGTTGTTCATTCTGTCTTTCTTTTATCCCTTCTTACTTTTTCTTTCCTCCTCCTTGTTTTTCCAGCGTGGCAAACACTGAAAGAGTTTTTATCGACAAGCGGTGCTCAATCATCCAACAAATCAGCTCATTTGTCTGTTTGTGACTTTGCCCTGAGTCTGTTTTGCAGCTTCTTCCAGCTCAACATGGTGCCTTTCTGAAGCCCAGCGCTGAGACCCCCTCACACACACTCCATAAACACCTCGCAGGCAGATGAGAGAGACAGTTTATAAAGTCAGTGATCCGCTACTTTTTTTCAAAAGGATTATGATAGCTTTCAAATCTGTGCCCATTAGCACTGTAAACATATGAGCTATCATTAGGGGATTCACAAAAGACATGGAGAAGGTTTTGATAGGAGCTCATCACACAGAAAAGAAAAGAGGCCTGTCGGCACATCTGATTCTGGCTTATTGCAGGTACTAAAATGAGTAATGTGCATCTGGGGCAAAAATACAAGAAATGTCCACGAACGCCCGCTGAAAAAAAAAAATCACCTGCATCACCACAAAACCTCATCAAAGTACAGTACTTTGTGCCTCCTAGTTTTTGTAGTCAGTTTGGCTGAGCTGAGACTCCCTTTTAAAAGTTTTTTTAAGGTTTCTTTAATCTTGTGCCGGATTTGTTATTGCTGGATTAACTGCTTAATTTCTCGTTCTCCAAACATTTCCTATGTCTTTGCCCACAATGTCATGAATAAAACAAAAGCTGAGACTGAAAGAGCAGGGCAGTGCTATCACATCTTTGAGGACATAATCTAAATGGAAAAGAAGTTAAGAAAAACATTTCAGGTATTTCATCAAGAAAGATGTCTGTATCAAATGTCATGGCATTTCATCAAATACCAATTTCGACTGTAGATGTATTTAGAGAGGCGGATACAGCATTTCCACTCTGCTCTGCAAGCTATTTGTCCCTTTGGGCAATCTCTGCGTGCTGCAGTGGAAAAAAAAAATACCCCTTGTACTTTGAGTTATCTACAAGTAAAATTTTATCTCAGTAAAATTTTACCAGAGTCAAAAAAAAAGAAAATAAAAAAAGTCGCCCAGCATCACCTTTCCCATCAGCTCTTTTTTGGCAGGTGGGTCAAGACATGTTGCTATTCAAAAATGACTTCCCACTGCTTTAAGTTATGCTGGACCAACCAGAGTCTTTTATTCAAAATAGGAAGGCCTCTTTGAGATGACGGCACAGGGGCGCTTCTATAGCTGTTTTGGAAACAACCAAGATGGCAGCTTCAAGCACAAAGAGGTCCGTTGAATTCAGTTGAATTAGCTGGATTTACTTCGTTAGTGCACTTAGAGTTTTCATCGGATGTGTTTCTCTCATTTTTCTTTGCATTGTTCAAGCAGCATTAACATTTGTTCCAAATTACATCCATCCATCCTACAGATATATATATATATATATATATATATATATATATATATATATATATATATATATATATATATATTTTTTTTTTATTATTATTATTTTTTTTTTTGATAACCGCAGTCCTAAATGCTCGGTGAATAACTGCATCAGTTATGTACTAAACAAACACTCCACTGGCATTTCAGAGCACTGTGAGATGTGAAACCAAAGGACTGGCTCAGTAGGTACCGAGACATGTCCAGGAATGACCCAACTAGAGCTGGAGGACTGATGTCGCACCCTTGCAGTTTACTTACCTTTAAAATGCAGAGAAACCCTCAGGTGGGTACAGCCGACAGCCAAACAGATTTTTTAGTTGACACTTCCAGCTACTGAGAGTACAGCGACTCTCGGGTTATTGTAAATCAAGTTATGATCTACACTGCTGCCTATTAGTAGGGGGAGCTCTAAATCTTTTGGCTTTATAGTCAGTAAAGACTTTAAAATCAAATGTAAAGATTTAAATGTGCAGATTATAGTGCTCTTACATCCATTAGCCAATCAAACTATCATTTTGATCAAAAGTCAAATCAAATCATATCAAATTTTATTTATATAAATCACAACAGTGGTTATCCTAGAAGGTTTCCAAATAAAGAGCAGGTCTAGACCAGGGTCATTAGCTGCGTTTCCATTACCCATGGATTTGCGCAGAAACCTAAATATCGCAATAGAAAACTGGTAATGGAAACACCTAAATTTCGGAAAACTGTCTCAAATATCGCTAAAAAGTTTTTATGCTCTCGTCAGGTGGTTTTTCAGACGCGTCAATATAGAAGTATATCGCAAAAGTGTAATGGAAACACTATTCTGGCAATTCTACATCACCGGACGTGACGTAGCGGGTCATGTGACCAGTTCATTTCAAGCAAAGATGGCACGGTATGCGTGGACGGAGGAGGAGACGGAGACGTATCCCGGGTCATCCTGAACTTTTGAATCCACAATTCGTCTGTGAATTTCTCATTAACAATCCTCTCCCAGAAATCCATTCAAACACGGCTCGCGAGAGGCAGACGGCTCGCTTATGCACTGAACACCATTCAATGGAAACACCCGCAAATCACAATTGTACTTTGTTGAAATTTGATAAATATCACTTTTATTTTGCGAAAAAATGTAATAGAAACACAGCTATTGTTCGATAAAAACAATGACCCTTAATCAATTTTCGAGTGTTTGTTAGGTTTAACTTTGGATCAATTTTTTTTCTTTATACAATGTATATTAATGATATGGTACAATATTAATAAGGTGTTGGTACAAGAGTAGTTATATGGAAGCAAAAGTCATTAATATTCACTACCAGGGGAGCTTTGATATCGGTATGAAAAAATCCACTTACATGTGTTATATTTGCTCACCTCTCAGGCTGTGCTTTTCATGCCCTGACCCTGAGATAAACAAATCTGGCCGAAGATTCCGTTTTTTTTAGAACTGTGTGCTGGCCCTACCAGGAACCAGGAAGTCACTCTAACAGCTAATCTAATAAGCTGGTGCCATCCTGTTCCTGGCAGGGCTGCGTGGCTGTGCAGCCTGGTGAGTGAGAATAGTAGCAGGGAGGTGACAGGAAGAGTGTCTCCTCACCTCTCCAAGCTTTACTGGCTCCCCTACAGCCACAGCTACCACCTCCTGCCAAGTCATTCATTAACCCCAGTGGAGGGACAGCGGGAAGAGAGAGGATGATAGGGAACGGAAGATGAGGAGAGCAGCCTCTGTGTCAGAGGGAATGTATAAACAGATAGAGGAGATTAAGAGAGAGAGAAAGGGAGACCAAAGTGGCTTGTGAAGATGCGTGGGCAACTCGGTCCAAACACAGTAACTCAAAAGCTATTCTTATTCATACATCTTGTTTCCACTGTAATCAATCATCGTTTTAGTGCTCTGCCTTGAGCCAAATAAAATTTGAGTCACATTGCCGACAGACTAGTGCACAATGTCAAGCCAGAAGAGCACTGACAGCACTGCAGTGAACAGAATTCAAATGACTGGTGCAAAAGTTTCTGCATGGTAGAGCTGTATTTAGGTTGGTGAGTCTGGGAGGAAACTGCATCCTATAATTCGAGCGAATAGTATAGATAAGATAAGAGCTCAAGCAAAGTGAGAGCACAATTCTGGAGAGGAGGGAGGGGGGGAGCAGATAGGAGAGTGTAATTCTAAAGCAGAGAGGCTGAAAATGATGTTAAAGCCTTTGAGAATTTGGTTTGAAATAGTAAAGGTGCACGGCTGATAGGAAGTCGAGAGTCTCATTTAGCATCCACCAAACAAACTGTCGGTATTATGAACAAACTTAGATCCAAACTCTGCTTATTCTCCTCTTCAAAGACTGTGCGAGTCCGGCTGCTTCTAAATCGTCACACCGCTTTGATGATGAAGGTGAAAGCCATCAGTTTTCGCAGCTTTTAGTGTAAAGTTTAAATCATCTGCGTCAAAGAAGAAATCCCTTATCTTGAAAATATTAGAGTCTGTAAATGGTGAGTCACAGATCACTTTATAGTCCCTGTCATGGATAGACATTACGCACACACTCAGTTAAGCGGAAATGCAAACATATGCCGGATCTCTGTCAGCGAGAGCTACCATCGCAACAGAGCTAAATTCTCCCCACCAACGCTGAACACCACCACTGAACTCCAGCAGCTGAAAATAGACAACTCCAGTCAAGACCCGACATCATCTCCCATCAATAATTGACCCGTAGATGAGGCTAACCTTGGTGTAAACAGCCTAGCAGCTCCCATGTGACTACCCATGATTGGACCATGGAAAAAAAAAAATTATAAATACAAGCTCAGCCAAACCTACTAAAACCCATCATACGATAAGTTTACAGAAAGAGGACTTTAAAGTTTGATTAATACTTCATACCAATTCATTTAAGGAGTTTATTACCATAGTAATATTTGTACACAACATTCTCAAGTTAGAATACCTTTTTGTGGGGTTTTATGTCCAAAGGCTTTAAAGCCTGAGGAGAGCAAAAGTAATGCATGAGGTAGAACGAGAAGGGGAGTCATGGGGGAGAAGAAAGTGGGGAAAAAAAGGCTAGAAGGAAAAAGAAAAGGCCATGTCTGCGAGACCGGAGCAGTATGGTATTTTAGTTGTCAGCTGGAGAAGCGAAAAGCCACACGAACACAAGGCTATTTCCTCCTCCTGCATCCTCTCACCTTTATGGTGTGTCTATTGTGCTTGCTACAGCACTTGCGCACACACACACACACACGCTGAAACACACATGCTGAAACACACACGGGAAAAGTAGGGAGAGGAGAAGAGAGGAGAGGAAACACTCTCTGATCCCCCAGCGAGAGTGAGTGGAAGGCCACTGCTTGCATTTGGCCACCGGCTCTCTCTGCTGCTCTGTTTCCAAGCAGGAGCCAGCTGTAGATGGCACTGTAGCACTGCAGAAAAACACTGCAGTCACACACACACTCTCACACACACATATCTATATACACACACACACGCATGCATACATTCTGTACGTGGCCATGTACACTCATGATCATACATACATAAATCAGCACTAACAGATAAAAAAAAAAGAGATGTTCTAGTGGTTAAGAGTTTAGTTTAACACTTACAGCCAGCCTGTTCTTTGTGTGTGTGTGTGTGTGTGTGTGTGTGTGTGTGTGTAATGTATTATCTTATATCTCTACATCGACCAGTTAAGTCTAAAAGGCACAAAACAGCACATATTACACATGCTCCCACACTTAATGTGTGCTCTGTTTTTCGGACAGAAAGGGATTCTTAAATAAGTCCATCCACCTACAGAAGAAGCACATGCTAGGATGACAAAACTGTTTTTTCTGATCACAACTGCAACTCTTAAATCAAATAACACCTTATCTGCCTGCAGTTTTACTGACTGACACCTGATGTTGGATGCAGACAACCAGTGAGCGTCTCTCTCTCTCTCTCTCTCTCTTTTTCCTGGCTTTCTGTCTGGCTGAACACTCTCACTGACGCAATATTCCCCTGAAAAATAACGCGGAGGAAGATAGACCTGTTCCAAGTATGAGTGGGGAAACTTATGGAACACAGATAACAAGAGAGGGAGAAAGGCTGAACCACAGGGCCTGTCCCTCCACAGCCTGCAGAGCTGTGTTCAGAGGTGCTGAATGTTCTGTTGCGTTGACTAGAGGAGAGGGGAAGGTTGCTGAAATAGATGACTCGCTCAGGGCTGTACACACACTCAGAACAGATGCAAACACAGCACTTCCTTAATAGTATTCCTCGCACAGTAATAGTAGGAATACATCTGCAGGGTGAGCTAGTGTGTGTGTGTGTGTGTGTGTGTGTGTGTGTGTGTGTGTGTGTGTGTGAGAGAGAGAGAGAGAGCGAGAGAGAGAGAAAGTGAGTATGTGGATTTTGATCTCTTTGAACTCCTAACTTCTAAGCTCAGAATGAAGTTGGAGTTCTCTGATGTGCAGGTTGAAGGAGTGAGGAAATTTGAGCAGAATCTACGCACTGTGTTCATGACTATGTAAGTGTGTGTGCACTCACACCTGTGCACATTCATATTAAATGCAAGTCTGGCAATGAGGAGGGGTAATTGAAAAACGCTTTCTCCTGGTGATGTTGTCCAAAGTAGTGCAGAGCCTGTTGGATTATTCCTCTCTACCTGATATTGTGATGCTAGATCGTACACAGACACTGTGTGCTTGTAACAAGTATTTTCGTATATCATGATGAAGGGAAATAGTTGAGATATTGTCTTTATGTGAAAGAAAAGCTTTCAATCAATCATTTTTAAGTACATTCTTGGAGTATGAGCATTTGTCTCTGTCTTTTGAAAAAGTAAAAGCATCTCTTTTGGCATTAATTGGTATGAAAACCATGTGCACAGAGCAAATGGCTCTTTCAATGTTGTGGATCAAAAATGCTTGCCACAGTTATAAGCATAAAAAAATTTGATTTTTTTTCACACCTTGTCAAGGGCGAAGCTGCCCAACTAGTAAAATCCTTGATGAAAAAGCTTTGAGGCTACAAGTATTAGCTGAGCCCAATACTCTCGAGTCCGGTGAATAAATGCTAATCAGATTGTTTGCCTGTACGTTATTGTCTCAAACAAGCAGGAAACAACATTTAAAGAACATACAGCGACTTGGAGAATTGAGAGAACAAAACACAGAAGAACAAAACACTGCAGTTCCTTAAGTGTCCACTTGAAACAGACTCCAAAAGCCATTTGAACCCCCTATAAGCTCATTTCCAAATTTTCAGAGAAAACATTTTACAGGTGTTGGCCTCTGTGCCTTTAATGTTAACTGTACAGCAGGGGAATGTTCTTATAAGTTACCCATTTTGATTATCTTGTGCTGTGTTCCAGTTGTACTCGGAAGTCGGAATTTCCGAGCTCCGAGTCAGAAATTCCATGAAGTCGTATTTCTGGCGAGGAAAGTCGGACAATCCTCACCAACCCTGACTTGACAACAACGCCATAATCCAAGATGGCAGCGCAGTGCATCGACAGTAAAGAGTAACAATGAAAGCTCTCGTACTGTAATATTTATTATCACCTCTGTTTTGTTTTTGTGAAATTAAATAAGTGGTATATGCCCAGCGTCTAACTGTGAACACGGTGCTATGGTGTTTGTAAGAGGAAAATACTGTTATGCATTCATTACAACTATGTGAATTCCCCAGTTTGGGATCAATACAGTCTATCTATCTATCTATCGATCTATCGATCTATCGATCTATCTATCTATCTATCTATCTATCTCGTATAGCTAACAACAACTAACAACCACTGACAACAGCTAACAATGGGTATCTGTAGGAGTCCATCTTGGTTTTCTGACTTCTTAACTCGAACGCTGTCAACTTGCGTGTAACATCATTCCCAGCTCCGACATCCAAGGTAACTGGAACGCAGCATTAATGCTGAGAGCTGTTCATTATCATGCATATTCATGGGCGTGGTTGATTTGACTGACACTTTAGACTTGACCTCTTTGGGGTTTCAAGATTAGTTGGTAATTAGCTGGGGTTAGTGTGTCAAATGTGTTGAGCACGACTCTGGGCTTCAGAATGTCTCAGCAGGAGCTCCTTCACTTTGAATACATCCATTCCTTTTATTCAGATGACACACCGAAAATGTCAATCACTTGAATACATTTCACTGACTTAGAAATCATGTCCATTTGGTAAAGTTTAAGTTATCATTTCCTTCTGGACATAAGTGGTGGATCATCTGAACAACACTGTTATGTTCCTACTTAGACTAAAGATTTACACCTACAAATTTATGCATTAGCACAGTATTTAACACTTAGACAATATGTGTTTGACTGTGTGTGAGAAAGATGAAAAATATGCATATTTCTCAAAATGGCCTTGAAGTCCTTTCTACGATTCAGATTTTTAATGTGTTAAGGTCAGCATATGCTTTGAGATAATCATATACTTCAGCACAAGGCCAAATTGGGATCCTTCCCTCACAATGACCCATTAGTTAAAGTCTGTGACTTGGAAAAGGATGCATGATTCATGAGTGAGCTAGAGAGCCATTCCTATTTTCAAGTCCACACTGGACCAGTCATTACCATAAATTTCCCTGGTTTGCATATCAGTGCAGACTGTTGTGAGCCTTAGCCAAAGGACCAGGGGTGGAAGTGGTACACTTGTGGTGAAAGACTCTTAATGTGAAAGGGCTCTTCTACTTTTATTTCCATTTCTCAACCACATCTTTTCCTTCTAGTCCAACCCTTGGCCCCTGTTTGCCCTTCCACCCTTTCATTCTCCACCCGCCCCTTCTACCAACCTCCTGCTGTTATACCTCTATCAAACACACTCCCCTGTTTAACTTTCCTCCACCCTTCAAACTGTCCATCCTCATTCCCTTACCTATTCTCTCACTGTCTCTCCTCTTTCCTCTCTATTCTAGTATCTTCTGCTCCCTCGATCCGTCTGTCCACCATCCCTCCATCTATATCTCATTCCCTCTCTCCAATTTTTCTCTCTAATCCATATTCATGTAATTTCTATATGGCAGCCGGGGGCTGCTGTTAGGGACTGTTACTTTGTGTTAAAGGTCTTGAAAGCCCGTCTGATTTACAGTAATAACTTGGGATATATCCAGAAATACCATTATCGAAGCATGCGCACACATAGAGGCAGACACACACACACACACAAACACACACGCACACACACGCACACCCACACAGAGCTATTTTCTACCTCCTATAGCTACCTTCTGTCCTCTATCCTGCTTGCAATTTTTGTTGCACTTCTGAGCTGCTGTTACAATCAGGCATACAATCCAACAAAAATATGACTTTTAATGGAATTCTAAGGTGGTCTGTGTGGTCCGTGTCCTTGTGTGTGTGTGTGGCTTTGTATATTTTTATTCATGCGTCCCATTCCTTTACACATGCCAATGAATCTGAGCGGTAAATGGGAAACATGGATATTAAAGAGCCATCAATTTATGCAGCAACAAGAGAGAATTGATTGAATTTGCTCGGAGTTATAATAACACAGAGGTGGTGAGAAAAATCAAAGCCTGCCTGATGCATGAGGTGTCATTGCCTTAGTCATGGGATGTGATTGAGACGATTGGCTCTGAACAACACAGTTAGCTGTTTTCATCAGGGATCTGATGGTTTAAGCTATCATCACACACAGTAATCCTAGTATTACAATGCCAGTGAGACAGTTGAGCCACAGCATGATAACACCTGACCAAAAAATGTTACTTTGTTTTACTGCCCTTGCAGCGTGTGTACTAGTATGCAAAGCAGGACAGCCAGCTAACATCTTAGGAGTGCTTTCATAACCATACAAGGCTTTACTTTTCTTATATTTTACTGAAGTGTTACTGGAATTGTGAAACTGAAACATGACAGAAATCAAAACATAAGTCAGCAGACACAACGTGCTCAAAGTAACTTGTAATTATTTATCTAACACTTACAGACAAATAATCTCGAAGGCAGAAGCCTTTTAGATACACAGCAACATGTGTATTGTGTGCACAACTGCAGCGCAAGAAGCTAGCAAAGACGAGGAGACCTGCAAAGCTACACAGCTACACAAGGAACACAGCGCTGACTCTGACGAGAAACAACAAAGTACTTAATTTTCTGACCCTTTAAACTGAGAATTTATTTAACAATTTCCAACTGTTTACCTTCACCTTAAAGGCAGCACAATTGTGTTCTCCATTCGTAAGTGTTTCATTTAATCTACAAAAGAAATGACATGGGATCTGCAAAGTGGTGTCATCCTAAGACTCTCAGATGAATCTATTTTGTCTAGGTCTCTGTAGTTTAAGATATTGTGATTTTGGGCTCCTCACTTTATCACTGTTGAGACTTCTTCATTCCTGTTTTTAAGCATATTTGTATTGTCGAAGAGAGTCACTAGAGGGTCTGAGTACCATATAGACCTTTGAGAAAAGGATAGAGTAAGAAAAAGTGCACACGTGCAGGAAGTTTAGTTGGGATTTATTTTGACTTTGAGCTATTTTTTGCTTGATATAATGGAAAGGGACAGTGCCAGAGATTTAAGGCTCCATAAAAAAGATATACACATACTGTATATATAAATAACAGATGTTCTTGTGATTTAAGGGCCCTTGTCAGGCTCTCAGATTTATCCCAAGGCTCCCCTGAGTTTTGCTGAATTAAATTTTCTATAGTTTGTGTTAGCCCTATTTCCTTTGTCATCCATCGTTTGAGTCGATACCCAGGGTGTCAGTTTTGGAGCATTAAAAATGATAAAATTAAGGTAAGAAATTAATGTTTTTATCATTATTTATGTTAATCTTCCGTCTCTTATGCTACTTGCCATCTGTGGTGAAGTTGCTATGATGTTTGACAACACTACAGTGTTTTTACTTCACTTTGAAAACTCCAAGAAGACTCTGTCAAAAGAAATACGCACTTTATATCAAACAGAATAAAAATATCACCAAGTCGAGTGTTGAGCTTCACATTTAAGCTGCAAGATGAGAAGTTATCTTACAGGTGCATTTATTCAGACTTAAGTAACGGGCAACTGCAACACAAAAGCCAGCAGAGCGCTATTTTGAAGTGCGTGGGTCACAATCAACCTGTGAGTGAAACTAATTTAAAGATGTTTACAGTGCTTGCTAAAGGGGTAGCAACTGACTGCAGGCCCTACATTGGCCTAACGTTGGGGTAGACTTATGTCTAAAGGACATCCTCAAGATTATCAAGTCATTTTCTTTACCACCATGCATAACAGGCGTTTCACACCTTGCAAGACTGAAATGAGACAGAGAAAGCAATCACAGTGAAACTCCTAAAAATGCAAATGCTTTCACTTTAATTGGGGATCATAGAGTGACATAAAATAATTAGAAATACCTCTGAATAACTGCACACTATACACACACTGACCGGACATTTTGAACCTGCACATCTGTGTTGTTTTAATGTGTTACTTTGTTACCTTTTATAGAGATTACAGGGCTCCTGAGGGGTCTTACAAAGTCTAAAAATGTCTAAAATTCTGAGCTTTGAATTTAAGGCTTTAAAAAGTCTTAACAATGCCCAGATTTTTGTTCACGGTCTTAAATTTAGTTGAGTCAAGTCTTATTTTTTTATTTTCATTCATCACAGAGAAGCATTGGCATAATATACACTGAGTAAGACACAGTAATCAGAAGTTGATTCTGTGTAGCCTGTGTTTTTGAGGGGATCAAATAGCTACCAGTGTTGGTGGGTGGTAATCAAACTGCAAATCCCATGATAACTGCAGCCCAGTTTGCCACATGTTGCTACATGTTTTGACTCCCTCGTGTTCAGAGTCACGTCTGCTGCTAGCTGTAGAAAACATGGGCAAGTGTGTTTTCAACAGGTCTTGGCTTGAAATCTGTGATTTTCAATTTCGGTTGCAAGTGGCCCCCACCTGTAAACACACACACACACACACACACACACACACACACACACACACACACACACACACACACACACATATATATATATATATATATATATATATACACACACACACACATGACAGCCTTTATAATGTGTTTTGTTTTTTTTAACTACTGAAGTGAAAAAAGTTTTCTTTTTTCTGGCATTTTTTGGCAATCAGCCTCAGGCATATTTCTACAACCAACTGTACAGGGTCACAAATCTGGAATGACCTTGGGATAATAAAAATAGTTTTAAACAGATTTTTGATTTGTAAAATGCAGAGAGACGAAAAGGAGGGACATCCAGTAATAACATTATGACCCCTGGAGGCAGGGAGAATATCTTTGATTATCTCTATAAAATAGCAACTGTTAGTGGGTGGGAAATGTTAGGTGGTAGGCCAACATTAAGTCCTTGAAGTTTAAATCAGGAAAATGGCCAATGTGAAGTTGTGAGCAGCTCTGAAAAGAACCAAATTGTGATGAGTAGAAGACTGGGTCAGGGTGTTTCCTTAACTGCAGCTTTTTTGGGCTCTTCCTGATCTTCCCTGGTCAGTACCTACTAAAAGTGGACCAAGGAAGGAAAATTGGTGAACTGGTGATAGGGTCATGGACAGCCAAGGCCCACTGAGGAGTTACTGGAGCTCAAACCGCTGGTGACGTTAAAGCTGATTTTGATTGGAAGGTGTCAGATCACACAATGCATGACAGTTTGTTGAGAAGGCAGTTGCTGAAGGATTCCCTTTACATTTACTTATTTTTACAGAGGGGTGGGTTATTTAAACAAATGTTGATTTATTTGTTTGTTTAAAAGGTCCCCCATTAGTGGCTACAAGAGAGCAACTGGTCTTCCTGGGGTCCGTCCTAAGTCCACACTACATAAGATCTTCAAAATAAATTACACATTTCAGTCCTCAAACAGCCATGCTCAAAATCCCACAACAAACCCAGAACCTAACATCAACACTTGCCCCAACGTTACCAACTACAGTTGATTCAATATGAGGTAAACAGAGGATACTGTGGAGCACATATAACCTTGTCCAATGCAAGAGTGTCTAACTGGTAATACTTTACGTTCAACCTGTGTACCTGAGGTCTGCCATACCATTATTCTTCTTCTTCTTACCAGCCACCAGGGAAATTGTCCAACGTACTCTATGTTCCAGTGAATACCCAAGGACTCAAAACTTTTTCTGACTTGGATAGAGATTTTTTCTTACTGCGGAGGGCCTTCAACCAGCAGAGGAAAGCAAAGGACAAGATGTTAATGCTTAAGTACATATGAGACTCTCCAAATGACAGTTTCAGAGAATACCCAAAAGGGCTGATCCCATCTCCGACACACCATTATCATCAGTTTCTAAGACCAAAGTGACTTGCAACAGCTTTGTAGGCCACAGCTAGAGGCAGCAGTTTACCATTTTCCTCTTTTGTGGGTGACTGCACAACAGATTTGTAAAGTGAAAATGAGAAATAATCCCAGTGTTAAGGGCATTTTTTCTCAGAACTTCACCATTGCTTTTCAGCAGCTTTTCCTCCTGTACTCTAAATACTCTAAACAAGAAACACCACAGTTTGTCTTCAAAGATTTGTTTCTGCCCTAACCTGCCCTTTTCTTAATTTTAGAACCATTTAGTGATTTGTGTCTCCTCAAATGTTCTGATAGTTAATGAATAGAGCAGTCCAGTGGGTTATGGTCCCCCTGGTGTCCTCATGTCTTAGTAAGCCCCACGTAAGTGTCCTCTTTGATGCTACTGATGCAAATAAAACTTTATTAAATGCTGTCTTTGTTGTTCTATAAAAACCGCACGCAGCTTTGGTAGCTACTTTTCTAAAGGTGGAAACATGTCAGATTCAACCCTCTGAATGCCCTTCCAGCATATAAATACAAAACATCTACTGCTAGTCCTTTCAGTGAATGGAAAATGAATGGAAAAATAGTGCCCTCTGATTGCTTTTTTAGTTTTGTAAATGTAAAATAATTGTTGTATCTGGATGCTATTTTAAACATACAATAATTTTGAAAAGTGCCCTCTAGTTGTGGTCCACATGGCATGGATAGATGTTAAAATAAAATTGTTTTCCCAATAAAAAGTAGGTGCCCAGTAAATGTCCCTCCTCCTTAAAAAGGTTCTCTCTGTTTTGTGTTATTTATTTTTTACATACAATGACACAATGACATGCAATGTAAATGAACTATATTTCAAGTTGTTTATTAAATTGATTAACAGTTAAGGACTCCATCTTAAAATCACCACATGAAATACAACAGATCATCTCTTCAAATGAGAACTCTCACTTTTTTAATAATTAAGTTTGATTGTTTTGGTTCTTTTCTTTTAAATACCCCCCCACACACACACACACACACACACACACACACACACACACACATTCATGTTGTGTAAATATTCACCATAATGCAGCCTTCAGTGGTAGATATCCAAAATTGTGGACTGAGTCAGGGTTTGAAATTCTACCCTAGTTTTGAACTTTCAATTGGAGGGCATTTCAGACTTGCATAGAAACAAAGGCGATGTAGTATTCAAAAATGGTGTTGAAAGACCCTTGTCTCACAAAACCAACGTGTTTGTTTGTATTAATGTTGTTATTGTGGAACTAGAGCATAGTTACAGTCACACATTTGCACATTACAATAACAAGAAAGCAAGCATGACAGGACTGGATAAATGACTGTCAAAGTCAACTGTAGTCTTGATTATAGGCTTACTTTATGAATGCTAAAACGAGATGTTTATTTCCACATAGCCTCCACAGCCAAGGATTAATGTCTCATGAGACTGAGCTCATGTTAAATGTGTACATTTCCCAGAACATACAACATCTCAGATTCAAGGCGAATTCCAGTTCTTGTCTTTAGCCCTTAACCAGGCCTTCATTATTTCCCACAGAGCATAATGAGTGAACTTAATGAATGATTAATTTCCTTTCACATGCAATGTGTCCTTACAAACGGTGCTTTTTGTCACAATTTCCATGATGTTCTTCTTCTGCTGCTGTGGCTGACGATAAATTGCTTCTGCTCTGATGGGTATGAACAGTAAATGTTTTATGCTATTCTCCACCATACTCAACCCCCTGAGCAGCCACCACACAATGTGAATTTTTAATGACTGTTGCTTAATTAAAATTTTGTTGAATATACATAAATGCTGTGCACTGACTTTTCTGTGAATCTCTGCAATTCACCTTGAGAAGGAGCTTTAATAGTGAAATTAATTGGGGAGGTCAAAAGGGACAAGCAGCCAGGGATTAACCTCGACCTTCAGCTCTGAGCATGATTCAGCTCTACAAATATACACAAACGTCTAAACATGGAGATGAGAAAAACAAAGATTTTTTTCTTATCACTGAACAAAAGTAAAGCAAAGAAAAAGGACCAAATGAGATGAGAGAGGAGTTCTCAGCTGTGCCTAAACAGTTAAGACTCAATTAAAAGTTTCTTCATTTTGCTAATGACAGACTGTATCAGTGATGGAGGAAGTGATTGAAAGTCCCCACTCCAGATCTTATCAGACAATTAAATGGCTCCTTATCTGCTGTTCTGGCCATCACTGCAGTGCTGAAGAAGAGGACAACTGCAACTATCAATAAACTAGAAGGTGCAGAAGCATGTATGATACATGATACATGTCCGCAGTGACACCGTCAGCCATATATCAGACATTCTTTGTCATCAGTCAGCTTTGACAGACTGTCACAGTCTGGTTGAGTTGCAGGCTAAATTATTTTCTGTAATAGGTTTCAATTGCATTTATTATTGCAAATTGCATTTTTACATTTAATCATTAGTTTAAACGCAATAATACAAGAATAAAGCAGTGCTCCTTACTGCCACTACTTCTTAATCTAACCCCGAAGTGTAATTGGCTGTCTGTTTTCTTCAGAGTAATGTCTAATTCATGCTGGCAGCCAATGGAAAAAAAGATCTGCTGGTGGGACACATGGGCAGAGCCTTGAACCAGTACATTTGATGCCAAAACCTGCTAAACCGTTTAAAATCAGATTGACATCTAAATTCTGATGCACGTCATTATCACCGTCTTCAGCCTGGCACACAATAAAATGTTTTTGAAACCTTAGACTGCAAACACAATGATGAATCGTGACAGATTTCATGGTTTTCTTCCTGTAGTGTATGGTGTGCAACACTGTGGTGAACACAGCTCACCATACGTATAAAGACCCCAGCAGCCTGAACCTGACTCTCAAAACTAAAAATCTCATAAAAATGTTCCAACAGGACTAAAAACATAGACTGTATACACTATGGACAACTTGGTTCCGCCTGTGTACGGATTTGAAGCTGAAAAAAGATCTCAGTATATCCGTGTTTTTTCTCCACTTCCTGAAACCAACATTGCAG